CATGTCCACCAGCAACACATAGATTAGCCATTCGAACCATCTTTGGCAGTTTAGGATCTGGTTCAAATGTAACCTCCTTTTTCTTCTCGGTATCCAGTCCTTCCGATTGAGCTTCTTCATCAGTAGCTTTAGCTTCTTTATCAACTTCCTCAATGTGATCAACCGCAGAACTTTCTTCTGATTTACTCAGAATTTCGAGGACAGAGTCAGGTAACTCGATATTATCAAGAATTCTCATTTCTCTCAGTTTTTGTACCAATAAGTCAAGATCCTCCGTGCCATACTCAGCAATAATGGTATGAATTAGCTGGCCAAGACATCAGATATGTTAGTATGGTACAAAGTAAAGAATAAATAATTTGTTCTACACAATCAAAATATTGAGACTGATAAATATGTATGTATAGGTGCTTCAGCACATTTGCACTTGTCCAGTTGTAAGAATACTTGATGAAGATTTGGTTCTGATTAAAATTTGAAGCGTATGGCCTCAAATATTACCTCCTCGTCAATCAGTTTTATGATTTCAACATGTCGAGGAAGCAGTTCTTGTATAAGCTGCAAACTCCATTTCTCCAATGCCTCAGGTAGAACTGTATGGTTTGTGTATGCAACAGTTCTGGCATAATAGTTTTGAATTAAAAAATTATGAGTGCAATTCGTATAAGTAACAATGAGGATTCAATGCATTGTGCCTGTGTGTATATCAGATCACAAGGAATGCACCAAATTAAAGCTAAAGAGCTAATAAATTAATGCACATCTACTGAGAAAATACCAAGAAAGGAAGTACCTTCGAGTAATATCCCAGGCTTCCTTCCAGCTCAAGCCCTTCGCATCCAACAATATTCTTATCAACTCCGGAATGCAGAGTGTTGGATGAGTATCATTCATCTGCACTGCAACCTTTTCAGGGAACTCTTCCCATTTCACTGGCTCCCTTGATCTCCTTTCAAAACTTGCAATTATATCTTGGAGAGAAGCAGAACACAAAGTATACTGTTGCTTCAATCGAAGTGATTTTCCCTCCACAGATTCATCCCCAGGGTACAATATATAACAGATCTAATCAGGAAAAGGGATTAAAATAACCATTGTTAGTTGGTTATGGCAGTTCCCGAGCATACAAAATTAAAGCAACACAATGTAAAGCAAATTTGGAAGAAGAAGCTTAATGATTCTGATGAGCTCATCCAAACCTTCTCAGCATTCTTTATAGCTGCATATGCCTTGGCATGGTCACCAGTGTTGAAAGCATGTAAGTCAAATTCTTCTGGTGCAACTTTTGTGGACCATAGTCGAAGGTTTACGGTGGTTTTAGTTTTATATCCTGGTATGGGGACATCATAGGCAACGGCCATGACATTTTCTCCTCCAATCCATTGCTTATTTCCATCTGGGCCCGAAACAACTTTGCCATAGAATTTCACAGGATAGCTAACATCATTTCTTGGAATTTCCCACGGATTTCCCATCTGATAAGAGATACTTTAATCAATTAACAGGTATCATATAAATCAATACCATGTGTGACCCTTTAAAAATCACTGAATTACCCTTAAAGAGCATAAGAACAAAGGAAAAGTTTCTTGCATAACAATGCAAAAGATGATCAAACCTCCAGCCAATTTTCTGCAACTTCCTCCTGCCCATCTTTTGTAATGTGCTGCTTAAACAAGCCATACTTGTATCTCAGCCCATATCCCCATGCAGGGTAATTTTGGGTGGCCAGGGAATCCAAAAAGCATGAAGCAAGTCTCCCCAGTCCCCCATTTCCAAGAGCAGCATCTGGTTCCTGTCAATCAAGATTTAACAACACAGAATTTAGAGATTTCCAAAGTAAAGGATAGTGTTAGTTAAGTCTACTCAAAGGAAAGTGAAACGGAAGTTGCAATGAACTAATGTAAAAGTGATTCGGTACCATACGATGAAATCATAACTCAATCAAATGGTCAGTGAATCTGACCTGCGTAGCTACATCCTCTAGATTGTGCCCTAGCTTTTTCAAAGCCTCCGTATAAGCCCCAGAAAGCTCTAAATTACCAACTGCATTTAGCAATGCTCTACCCTGCAACAATTTAAAAACGTAACAGATAATAATACCCCTTACTCTTAGCAAGTAATATATACACCACAAGAAATTTTCAGCCTTTGGAAGGACAAAGAGAGAGACTCATGGCAAACCTGTAGGAACTCCATTGAGAGATAATATGCCTGCTTTACGTTCAGCTTCTCATAGTACTCATATGTTTCATTCCAATTCATGATAAGCATGTCACGAACACTCTCTGCTGTGGCATAGAATGCCTTGGGAAGCCCAAAGGACTCAATAGAGAAAGAAGGTGTGAATTCTGCATGGTATTTGATAATCGATGCAAAGGATGCCGAATCCGGAGGAAATGTAGCCAAACTACCTGCAACACTTAATGCAAAAATTCATAGAACCATATCAAATAACAGCTTCATGAATTTTATAAGTCCGAATTGGGACAAGACCTTTGACATTCAGAACGGGGGTGTCCAAGATTGAAAACACAATGTCCTCCATTAATTTCACTAGATTATGATGGTGACTGACAACAAAATCCAGCAACCCACGGGGCAGTGAAATTTTGAAACTGAATGAGACTATGATGGGCCAGTTTGGCTTAGAATGATAAAAGCAAAGTGAATTCCCACCTCAGCTGAGATGGGTGGCAAGTACTTCTATAATTGGCTTGGAGAGCATCAATCTTTCCCATTCACAGAATCACAGCTCTTTTCACTTTGTAAAGAAAAAACATTGAAAATTCCACCGAAAAAAAGAAAAGAAAAAGCACATCGCATAATAGCAAATTACAGCCAAAACTCTGAACAAAAGCACACAAAACATTAGGGAGGAGGGTTGAGAAAACAAACAAACCTTCTTGGGTTTGGGTGGCAGCATCTTTCTGATCAGTAGCCACAGTCTTCACACAAAGCTGTCTCCTTGCTCGACTGGAACAAGAGGTACTGATAAAGACCCGTCTTGAATTTCTTCTTATGGTGTTCGAGTATATGAAGCTTGAGATGAACTTGGATTGAGTAGCTAAATTTGAGTGTGCGGATGTCGGTAAAGTCGCCATTGCTGGGAGTTAGAAGCAGAGGAAGGAGAAAATGAGTGAAAGAGAGAGTCTTGTGTTTTGTCTGCTTATCTTGTTTTGTTGGGCACATAGCTGATAGCTCTGCGTCTGCGCTGTTTCATCACAAACGTAAACTTCTTGTTCCTCATGTTTCAAACGAGGGAAATATTTTGATTCGTCGCTTTCCCTCACTAATGAAACTTTTTTCTTGGTGGGTTTATGCATTTAATCAAGATTCCTTGAAACGTATATGAAGATTTGTTTAATTGCGTACCTTACCTCTCTTCCCACTTTGGGCCAACACAAGCGGGCCTGCCATTATCGTTAGCTACTTACCCCCACCATTCAAACAACTCACACCTTCTTTTGGGGTCTTGCTTGCCCCTTCATATCCCAAATAGCCACCTTCATTTTTATTTATTGGTTTAAGTGCTTTTTTTCCTTCATTATTTTGAATTTGGAGATGAATTAAAATTTAACAAATGGGCCCATTTTTAATAGAAAATTTAACAAAAGTTGACGGAGGTGGTAGATTAGCACTAAATGTGAAGTTTGGGTGGTACATAGCTAAATTCCTTTTATTCGGTGGTAAATATGCACACATCTAATAGTTTAGGTGGTAATTGTGCAAATTTCCCAAGAAATAAAGAATACTTCGTGCCAACACCCGATTTAATCTCATCATTCAAATAGGAGCCAAAGAAATTGGGAATACATCAAAACTACGCAAGATGATCATCAACACCGTTCTGCTCCCTTTTAATGCATTCTTTAAATTACCCTTTTCTAGAATTTTCTTAGTTCATCCTTCCAATTCCGGGGAAGATTCTAGAATAAAAGAGTTTTGGGTTAAAAGAAAAAGATAAATGAAAAAGGTCTGGGCCAATCACCTCCTCTTCCAACTCAAAATCAGACCCAATAAAGACCATTTGGTAATGCTTAGCCCAATAGCAAGCCTGCCATATCCCCATTCACCATAGTGCCAGCTCGACATCTGGTCTGCCCACGTGGCATGTATACAATAATCATCTATTTGTCCATAAAGATTAAATATATATAATTAAAAAAAGGTCATTTGAAGAGGGAGGAGGGTAAATCCCAACGGTCTGAAAGGACTCAGAGTTGGTATTGGACTTGGAGGAGGTTAGAGCCGTCCAGTTCTCTGCTTTTCCGCGGCGCCTTTCTCTGATTTTTCTCATAGCCACAGACACAGAAAATAAATACTTCTCCAAAGGAAACCCTTTGTTTCTCTCCATTCTCTAGATTATTCCTCTTCTCGTTTCAAGCACAAACCAAATCCCAAACCAAACCAGTGTTGGTTTGTGTATGAAACTCTGCCAATTTTCGATTTTTATCGAAATTTCTAGGTACATTCTGGGTCTTGATCATAACCCATGTCGTATTTCTTAGTGGAAATGTTTGCGATATCATTCTTCACCTTTTCTGTTTTGCTATTGAATTCGGTGGAATTGTATTTTGTTTCATTATTGTTCTTTTGGGTTGCTTTGCAAAGGTAAGGAAAGTGTGTATAAGAAATTTGGAAATCCTAGTTGTGAATTTGTATTCCTGTTTTCTTTCTGGGTCAACTTTCTCAGCCTCCTTCACACTCAGTGCCATATTTGATCTTCTTCTATTTCTAAATTTGTAATCTTTTTTTGATTGAAACAGAATGCATATGAATGCCCCTATTGATTGATTGGTATAGTTGTATGAAATATTTGTGATTGCCTTCTGGTTCTTGTGTTTCGGTAATCTTTCGGAATTTGTTCTCATTGTTGAACCTTGTCTGTGGTTGTAGGTACCATTTTTTTAAGTCTACACAGGGTTTCTACCAATTCCTTTGATTTAGTGACTTTGGAGTCAAAACTAAACACTTGACAACTTTGGTTTCTTGTCAAAATGTTTGGGTTTAAGAAATCACCAGCAAAGATTGCTAAGCAAAACTCTGTAGACCCGGGATTTCAAGCTCCTGCTGATTCAGAAACTGATAAGGACACTCATAAGCCTGCAAGACGAACTTCTTCCGAACCGATGCTTATAACCCCGGATTTTAGTAAAGAAAAGCCTGGTAAAAGAGGGTCTTCGCCTGCTTCCTACAAGAATGATTTTCGTGACTCGGGGGGGATAGAGAACCAGAGTGTGCAAGAGTTGGAGAAATATGCTGTGTACAAGGCTGAGGAGACTACACAGAGTGTCAACAACTGCCTCAGGATTGCTGAGAACATCAGAGAGGATGCTACAAAGACCCTTGACATGTTGCATGCGCAGGGTGAGCAAATTACAAGGACCCACATGGCGGCTGTCGATATAGATAAGGATTTGAGTCGGGTAAGCTCAATGTTGTCAGGATTTTGATTTATGAACTCTCTGGTTTTGTTATATACTTAATTTTTCTTACGACACAAGAAAGTTTGAAAAACAAGAAGAGGCAGCATTTGTGAAATCCTTGTAGGGATGTATGTGATTTTTTAGCAGCATTTCTTTTGCTCCCCTTTACCATTTTACCTAATGATGCATTTTCAAAACAGGGTGAGAAGCTTTTAAATAATCTTGGGGGTATGTTCGCAATGCCTTGGAAGGCAAAGAAGGGGAAGGATATTTCTGGGCCTGATTTTTCAGCAGGTGTGCTTCTGTTATAATAATCTACTTGCTCTGTATACTTGAAGCATCGTGAAACTTATTGTATAATGTAATTTGGTTTTGATCTGGTGATCATGTTCAGCTTCTGCACCCACAAAAAGTGACCCCCATCAGAGGGAAAAGTTGGGTTTAGCTCCCATACCCAAAGGAAGGTCGGCTCCTGCGACACCTCCTCCTGATGGATCAGGTGCCTTGCAGCAAGTTGAGGTAAGAGTCTTTGTGATTATGGTGATCAAGAATATGGCTACATGTTCTCCAGATTTACTTATATGGGATTGGTTGTCAATACCAGTATGAGAAGGCAAAGCAAGATGATGCTCTTTCAGACCTGAGTAATATTTTGGGTGATTTGAAGGGTATGGCTGTGGACATGGGAAGTGAACTTGACAGGTCAATATCATTCTTCTACTCTCTGCACATTCTTCATGATTGCATCTATATCTCTACGTTGTTGTTAAGTATTATGTGGAAAATGCAGGCAAAACAAAACTATCGATCATCTCTCTGACGACGTTGATGAGCTTAACTCTCGAATGAAAGGTGCCAACCAACGTACACGCCGTCTGCTTGGGAAGTGAAGGTCTAGAGACTTAGAATTCCAGGCTACATAAAAATTTCCACATAACTTTAGTTACTGTAACTATACAATTTTGTTTCCCTCTTGATTGTATATATTATTGGTTTTCCCCCATTTGGGATATACGCATGCAATAAAATGAGCCTTTTTGTTCAATTTTATTTTTTTCCCTTTGCAGTTACCTTGTTGCACATAGTTTCCCGATTTCACTATCTTCCCTGCAGAAATTTTAAGAATATCATGAAGGCACTATATACATTGGTAAAGAAAGAGAGGAACCTACATATTAATTTGCATATAGATCACAAAACAAGTGTGAAGAAATCTGAATATTTACAACAGGCGTGTTAAAGGCTTATCAATGCAATCTGGAGCTCACATATCCTCACTCTTCACAGGGGTCCAGACATTTCCAGTGCCATCCTTTTTCCTGGCATATGAAATGTAACCCCCAACATAGCCTACAAATATCCCAAGCACCACCAGACTTGCTCCCTTCACAAACCAAGAGAATGTAGACTCCCCACTGTCCCCAATAACTCCAGGCCCACCAGCACCACCACTACTGCTATCAACAGCTTTGATACCAGCTCCATTAACGCCGAGAACTTGTCCGGACGCCAGAATCTCCAGTGTATCGTGCACTTTTCCGTCATGGTTGCCAACATAAGAAAGTGTAAGCTTCTGCTTTGTAGCAACCAACCTAGTGTACCCAAATTCACCACCGCGGTACAAAGACCGCTCAGGCTGTGGGTAGATCGGGTCAGTTAGGTGATCCGGTCTAGGCTCCCATATGGGCTGCCAGTCTTGTCCTGCCATCCCAATCACAACATGAACAGGCCCCACACTCCCGCAAGTATAGTTATTCAACTGACAAAACCTCTCATATCTGTGTACATGTCCCCATAACGCCAGAGTCACGTTGTTCTTCACAAACAAAGGTTCCAAGTGCTCCAGCATTTTCTCCCTCAAAGGAGCATCGCCTCTCTCATTGCTGGTTGTGTACATTGGCCTATGTCCCTGCACCACCACAAAAGGTGTCTTCCTCCTATCCACCGCCTCCAAATCACGCTTAATAAATTCAAGTTGCTTGCTTCCTTGAACAAAATTGGTCTCAGTAGATATGTACACAAAATGGACAGAGCCAACATCGAACGAATAGTAAAGATTTCGAGTAGCCGGAGCACCAGTTCCGGTTGGTTCCGATGAGTTTCCAGGCATGTTGAACTTAAGACTATACGGCACCCCACATTCACCACCTCCATCTTTCCCATACATGCTTGCCCACTCTGGTTTCCATGGCTGCAAGGGCCAGTCATACTCGTGATTGCCAATGCAAACATGGTAAGGCAACTTGGACGCAAGAGGTTCAATTTGACTGAAAAATTGATCCCACAACCAAGAGTAGCCTCTTGCATAGCTTATGTCTCCGATATGGGACACAAAAGCCGGCTTGTCACCGAGAGCTTCAATGTCCCGGAGGATCCATTTTACTGTGGAAATGCTCTCGTCTTGGGTCCGAGAAAACGTCGCATAAGGCGTTGCAGTGCCCATGTCGCCGAACATGAACGCCGTCGTTTCGTCCGAATCCCTGTTTCGTGACACGAAGCTCTGCGTTTTGCTCCAACCTCCATTGTCACTCCCAACCTGAAAACATTAACATAACATACATAATCAGAATTTTCAAAAATTCGTTGTCAATTTGTTCAACAATTTAATTTAATTTTTGTACCTTGTAATAATATCTGACGCCTTTTTTCAACCGAGTCATGACCGCACCGTGAATGAACCCGGGGTCTCTCCACCCGATACTAGCGTTGGCGGGAGAATCGCACATGTGCTCCCTCTCGTACCTCTCCACATGCGCCACTGCCACGTCATCAAGCGAGTCGTCGCTCGGACCGTATCGAACCGTCGTCTCCCCGGCGTCTGACGTCAGGAACATGACCCGCATCTCGTCGTCTGCGTCGGTGTAGGACAGGTGGATCTGATCCGGGCCCCGACCCGATTCGAAGGTGAGCTCATCGTCCGACGTGGCGAGTAGGTGGGCGGTTCCTGGGAGAGGGTTGTGGTCTTGGTCGAGGTGCTTCCGGTCGATCTCGGCTTCGGCCCAGCGGAAGATCCGGAAGGAGTAGTTGGATCGGAGGTTGACTAAGGGGAGGGAAATGGAGCCCGAGCCGGATTTCCAGGTGGGGCTGGAGGAGAGGAACTTGTAGCCGATGAAGTTGTCGTGGTGGGAGGAAGGGGGTGAGTAGATGCCGAGCCAGTCGAGGTCGGAAGGTGAGTCGACGCCGGACCATTGGATGAGGACTGAGTCGCCGGATTTGGATAGAGTGGTTTTGGATAGAGAGACTGAAACATTTTGATGGGTTGGCGTGAAGAAGGCAAAGAGAAGGAGGAGGAGGGAGATGAAGGGCGTTTGAGAAATGGTCATCGTGGCGGATGAGATGACTGTGATTGATGAGCTATGGAATTGGATGGTATTTATGAAAATATATATTTATTCTTCTTTTATTTATTCCGAGATATTGTGCTTGTAATAAGAACCAAAGAAAGTCAAATTTATTTGATCAGGATTTGTGAAGAAAAAGGGCTGGGCCACTTTTGCTTGTTTCCAACCTTGTCAAGGAAATGCGGAGGTTGAAACCCAAGCAACCACAAGTCTTTGAACACGAGCCATATCCCAAACCCGTCTCACTGACAGAAAAGTCCAGTCCAATTGGTCGAATCGTGCCCACTTTTCATTTGTCCATTCTTGGTTTGAATTTTCCTCCTTCTTGTTTTGTTTTGAATAACATGATTGGATTGGATTCGACTGGATTGAATTGGAAGAAGGAGACTATACAATTAAGCGGGTACATATATTTACGTGAGTCATGTGATTTCCGACTCTATACATTCATATGACGAATATAACCCCAAAAGGATTATGGAATAGAAGAAAGAGAAGCCAAGCCAATCGTGGTTTCTGGGCAATTTATAGTGTTTCATGTGTCTCTTGCGCCTTTGCATTAATACTCTTTTATAATCTTCTTCATTCATTCTATCACCATCCATCGTCAACCCTTTACCTCTCTTACTTAACTCTCTCTCTCTCTCTCTCTCTCTCTCTCTCTCTCTCTCTCTCTCTCCCTCCCTTTCTTTCACAATCTCCGTAGAAAGAAAAAACCCAACAAAAAATTCAAAATGAAGAGCTCTCTCTCTTCTTGTTCAACCTCTACTTTCGGCCTCCGCCGGCTTTCGGTCTTGGCCTTGGTGGTGGTCTTCCTCTCGCTTCTTCTCACATCTGCCGCCACACCCGTGTTCTCTAGCCCAACCAATATTGTACCAAGAAACCCCAGCACTAATCAAGAAGACAAGTTGCTACACTACAAGGTCCAGGAGGCAAACCACCATCCTCTTCATCCTCATCACCCGTGTGATCATCAGAGCTCAGTTTCGCAATCATCAAGTGCCCAATTACGTTCTTTGTGCCTTCAACTCCACCAACACAAAATCTTCCACGCCTACCAACCCCTCCCACCACCGCCGCCACCCGTCGCTCTAGATCACCACGATGAGATTGACCCAAGATACGGCGTCGAGAAGAGACTCGTCCCCTCCGGCCCCAACCCTCTTCACAATTGAAAAAATAAAGTCTCCATCCCCATTATTTATACTTGTTTAGCATTTCTTGGTCTATCTTTCATTTCTTGAACACCCAAGAAGAGATCAGAAGATCGAAGGAGCTAGGCTACTTGTTTAATCAGTATTAATTTTCTTTACTACTTGTTGTGTGTTAAGCTACCTATTTCCATGCTTGTTTTTGAACTCTCGGGCCATCGCTACCTTTTGCTTAGAGATTAGAGAGGGCAGACAAATTTTTGTGGAAGCGGCAAAAACAAGCATGGAAATGGTCCAGAGTCCGGGGGAGGAGGAGATTACAGAAGAATTCAAAAGAAGTCCATGAGTACCATAATGTCAATTCAATCAGGGGGGCAACGGGTAAACCTTTCTTTTTCGAGGTCAAAATGGACTTTTTACCCGTGTAATACTAGCTAATATGTGGGTCCGCATTTAATATTTTCGTGTATAGTCAGGTAGAAACAGTTGAAGCGAAGCCTTGGTTTGGTTCTTTTCTATTTCTTGGGATATCATCAGAGAGTATATGAATGAAATTTTATTTATTTCTAGTTTGGTTTCTTCTTCTTTTGTCCCTTTTAACTCATTCATGCATGACATGAATGTTCCCAAAATATACATCATCTTTCAACTTAATTTGCCGACTGCAGTTGTGAGGTGAATCCCGTGACACAACCTTGGTGGTGGTGGTGGGGAAACTTGAAATCGGGATTTTGAAAGAGATGTACCGTTAGATTAGAGTTAGGTTTTTTTTTTTTTTTTTTTTTTTTTTTTTTTTTTTTTATATATAAGATAAAATGTTTTACTATGTTGGCAAGACAAGTTTGATGGTTGGTTTGTGTTGATGACTATATGTTTGTACGTACAAATATACCGTATTCCCAACCGACAACATTGTATAATAAGGTATTTTATCGTTTTCAAAATATTATCAATCGTAATTAAGTCATAAATACTGTTTGGGATAAACATTATGGATCACATCTATCATAATGATGTACTTGGGAATTTAGTGGGAAAGTATGACTCAAGTATACAACATGTAGGTCATGCCATTCATAAATTCAACATTCTCATCAATTTTTTGATTTAGGAGGACAGGGAAGAGAGCACCAACGCAGTAAGAAGTTATCTTCCTCTCGAATCTTATTCTTGTCATATTTACACTTTCTTGATAATGAACAAAGATATTTTTTCACACAGGCAAACACGTGTATTTATTATTGAGAATTCATGTCGGAGAATTGAAGCGTTACTTAATAGTTTAAAAATTATTCAACGCCTCCATCTATTGTCAATTATTTTAAGTTGAATACTCACATTATGTTAATATAGACGGGGTAGTAGAGGAAAAGTGCAAATGAAATTTGAGTTAGAAATTATCACGAAGTTTTTCTTCTTCTTTTTTACTGGTCACCAAATTCACAAAACGCAGCGTACTGTGAACCGCGGGTAACTAAACGGGAAGCCGAAATGAGACGAAAGGAAGCCCCCACCAATCAGAACCAAGGAAAATAAAATAAAACAAAAACGAAGAAATAATTAAAAAAACCCCGGTCACCGACGGACGACAGCAGAGCGAGTTCCCTTTCCGCGTTTGGCCAAACACTGAAGACTAAAGAAAAGATCGAAGGAGAAAACACTGTTCTTCAACTATTGAGAAATCAAAAATGAGTTTTGAGTGTTGAGTTTGAGATCTATTCAAATAATAAATAAATGTTACCCACTCAATCTAGTTGAAAGTCTGCGTCAAGTGTGTGAGAGATCAGAGAGATCTAGCTAGGATCTTCAATCCTTTTGGAGGTTTTGGCTTCCTAAAAACGAAAATGGCGCTTCGTTTTTCGTTAGCAGCATTTTCTCTGATCCTCCTTCTATCCTATCCTCTGCTTCTCAACGCCAAAACCCTGAAACGTGACAGTAAGTTCTCAGCTCCTTCATTCACTTCACTTGTATTTTCACTCTCTCTCTCTCTCTGCGTTTGGCTTGGAAATATGGAATTTTTGTGGTGATTTTGGGCAGTGAAAGCATTGAACGAGATCAAGGCTTCTCTCGGCTGGAGAGTCGTGTACGCTTGGGTCGGAGACGATCCGTGCGGAGACGGCGACCTTCCGCCGTGGTCCGGCGTCACTTGCTCCACTCAAGGCGATTATCGAGTCGTCACTGAGTTGTAAGCCATTTTCTTTTGCCTTTTATCCGATTCGATGCGATTGCCCAGAGTTTTCAATTTTGAAGAAAAAATGTTATGTTGTTTTTGTTTTGCTAATTTGCAGGGAGGTTTATGCAGTCTCAATTGTTGGGCCTTTTCCTACTGCTGTCACCAATCTCTTGGATCTCACTAGGCTGTAAGAACACCTCTTTAAATCTGCTGCTCTTTAATCCTCTTTAATTTCCAATTTGCTCACAATTAATAGAAATTTATATTGTTTCAGTGCTCATTAACTCATAGACATTTATAAACCTCAAATTTATAAGCTACACATTCCTAATTAATAACCCCTCAGTTGTTTTTCAGTTCGTCAAAACTCAAACTTCATATTTGTTTTCAAGAATCTGATGTATAATGTATCTGTATGTGACTGTGTTCGTTCGTGTCACAGGGATCTCCATAACAACAAGCTGACGGGCCCTATTCCCCCCCAAATTGGACGTTTAAAGCGTCTTAAAATGCTGTACAGCCTTTCTACTCCTTTTTTTATTTTAGATCAGTTTGTTTTCTGTTCAACTTATGGGCATAGTATTCGGTTTATGCGATAACATGCTTTTATATGCTAGCAGGTTGACAGTTAGAGATGGATTTGTCATCTTCTTCTTAATTCTAATAGAAGCTTTTGATTTTTGATTTTTATTTTTTAATTCTCAGTAATTTGAGATGGAATAAGTTACAAGATGTCATTCCTCCAGAAATTGGTGAACTGAAGAGTTTAACCCATTTGTGAGTGAACTTAGATTCTATCTTTCACAATGATTTGCATCTTTCTTATCCGTGACTATTTCACCATGATTTATTTACTTATTCACTATTTTTATGAACTAATAATTCTGTAGGCATCTAAGCTTTAATAGTTTCAAAGGGGAAATTCCAAAGGAGCTTGCTAATCTTCCAGAGCTTCGCTATCTCTATCTGCAAGAAAATCGTCTTGTTGGGCGGATTCCTGCAGAACTAGGAACTTTGCAAAATCTTCGGCATTTGTATGTTTACATAGTTCTTCGCGTAGTGTTAATGATAACGCATCTGTATCTGGTTACTGATGTGTGCCATTGTGATGCCATTTGTTCATAGGGACGTTGGTAATAATCATTTGGTGGGTACCATTAGGGAACTCATACGTATTGAGGGCTGCTTTCCAGCTTTGCGTAACCTGTAAGTTAATCCAAGCTGATGAATACATAATTACTTACACCTCTAGTATAAATGATATGATAAATTAAGTTGTTCTTTTTGCAACTGGGTTATGTAGTTACCTAAACAACAACTATCTTACGGGAGGAATTCCAGCACAGCTTGCAAACTTGACCAAGTTGGAAATCTTGTATGTCTCTGTCTCTGTCTCTGTCTGTCTGTCTGTCTGTCTGTCTGTCTCTCTCTCTCTCTCTCTCTCTCTCTCTCTCTCTCTCTCTCTCTCTCTCTCTCTATATATATATATATATATATCCCTCTGTGTATGTGTTATAATTACATTTTTACATGAGATAAAGTTTGTTGGGTTAATTCTTTTGTTGGCTACAGGTACCTATCTTACAACAAGATGTCTGGGATAGTTCCATTAGGACTCTCCCATATTCCGAGATTGACTTACTTGTGAGTTTCTTTTTATGAAATTTCTATTCTTTTATTTGTGCTTGAATAGTTGGTGTTTAGGGGTACTTTCATCAAGGGTTTTGCCTCCTTTTTAATGCCAGTATTCAACTTGTAATCTAGACTCTTGCAATACCACTGAACTACATATCGTTATTACACTATTATAAAAATAATAAAAATGTAAAAAGCACCATTATAGCAAATCTTGGGTTAACTGAACAACCTTGACAAAGGTTTACCTACTACTGCATTAGATTGAGGAAGTAGATGTGTAAGTTCATTCATTTCTGGTTGTGAATTTTTATTTTTTTTAGACATGCATTATCTTGTGCTCTCAAGTTCTCAACCAAGAATTTTCCTTTTTATTAATTCTGCAATCATCTTTTCGAATTGTCTAATATCTACTATACCTTGCATGTTGGCAAATTATCTTGGCACACTAGAAATTCTGACAGCATCCTACATAACTTTAGTTTCTGCCCCCGCTTCTCATGGAAAATTGACTAGGGATTTTCAAGATTTTTGATTCCTTTAGCTACATTGACATGCATTTCTTGTTGGCTTTACTGGCTTCTATTAGAGACTAACACACTTCCCCATTCATTGGTGAAATTGATATATCAGGATTCATATATCAGTTTGTTATCTTGAAACTCTTGTGCATATGAGTGTTTTTGTGTGGAAAATTATTTTCACCAACATGCTTATGGTTCATTTTATCAATTTTAGGTATTTGGATCACAATCAATTTTCAGGGAGAATTCCCGATGCCTTCTATAAACACCCATTCTTGAAAGACATGTGAGTTTCATTGCCTCTAGAACTTGGAAACTTTTAATTCCTGGAACTATGCAGCTAAATGTTTGATATCTCGGTTGTAGGTATATTGAAGGGAATGCATTCAGACCCGGTGTGAAACCGATAGGCATACACAAAGTTCTTGAGCTCACTGACACAGAATTTCTTGTTTAGTCGAGACATCAAGCAATTATTTATTTGTTACCAATTGTGTTTATGTACTGCCCAAACAAGGGCTCACGTCTCTGAATGAAGTGAAAAATCTGCGTCAATGAAGTTTTGATGTCATTAATGAGTTCCTATGTTGCTAACTGTCTGAGGAGTTACTGAAATCGTAAATAGTAGTTTCAGAACTGATGGATGTCTTAGATCATAGTATATACCCAGTTCAACAGGGATACAATATCATGTGTTATCAGAGAAGCAAAATTTAACATTCCCTACCCATTCTTGGCGTTTCATTTTGTATTTTCAGAGCAAATTTTGGTTTAGATTAGGTCTCTGTATTATCAGCTGCATGAAATACAAGGTTAGTAATTGGGCAATTAACCTTATTTAATTGATTCATGTCTTGTCAGCTAGAAACAAATATGGATAACTGCCCAAAAAATCCAACTGTTTGCTTATGGTACCCAAAACTAATTGTATTTCTTCCATTTGCCGATGTGTTTTCTACCCCGCAATGAATTCATGAACTGCTCTATTAACCTCAACCGAACTGCAACCTGGTGCTTTCACTACTCCTCTGTTTCTCATCAAATGCCTCATTCTTCTGGCATCACCATGCTTTCCCCCGGCGGCATATAAATTTGAGAGCAAGACATAGACCCCACTGTGGCGTTCGAGCCGAAAGAGTTTCTCCGCAGCAACCTCAGCTAGTTGAGCTTGTCCCTGATTGCAACAAGCACTAAGAAACGCTCTCCAAGCCACTGCTTCTTCAGATGGTTTACTTGAACTGGGCATTCTTTGAATTATTTCCTTTGCTTCTTCAAAGAGACCGGCACGGCTTAGAAGGTCGACTATACATCCATAATGTTCGCTTTTTGGCTCAATGTTGTATATCCGACACATTTTATCAAACACCTTCATGCCTTCATGTGCCATGCCTGAATAACTACAAGCAGTAAACACAGCAATGAAGGTGATATCATCTGGCCTAACCCAAGCAGCCTCCATCTCTCTAAACAGCTCAAGTGCACCTTCTCCATCTCCATGCATTGCCATTCCTGAAATCATAGCATTCCAGCAAACTGTGTCTCTCTTTGGCATCTGATAAAACAGTCCTCTAGCCAAATCCAATTTCCCACATTTAGCATACATGTCAATAAGACCAGTGCTCAAACGAACACTCAGCGGCAACCGAAGCCGATTCAAATACGAGTGAATCCAAATCCCAGTATCCAGAGCTCCCAAATGAGCACATGCACATAGAACGCTGACAAAAATTCCCTCATCAGGCTCTATCTCTGTAAGCTGCATCAGCCGGAACATATAAAGACCTTCCTTGAAACAATTATTCTGCACATACCCAGAAATCATGGCGCCCCATATTCCTCTGTCTCTCACAAGAGCTTCATCAAAGAACAGTCTTGCTGTGTCGAGATCACCCGCCTTTGAATGGCCAGAAATCATGACCGTCCATGAAACAGCACTTAGGCTAGGAATTTCATCAAATATGTGTCTTGCAGCTTTCATATCATCAAATGCACAGTACATGACAATCAGAGAGTTACCCACAAAGATATCAGAAACAAAACCCAATTTCAAACTGCACCCATGAACCAATTCTCCAAGACAAGAGCTTTGCAGCCTAGCACAAGCTTTTAACACATAAGGGAGGGTATAATTATCTGGGTACATCCCATTTTGCAACATCTTGGTAAATACATTGATGGTTAGGATGAGATCATTTCTGAGCAATAAAGCTTTTAGCATGGTGTTGTAGATGCAAATGGTGGGTTGTGGGATGTGTTGGAAGAGTTTCCAAGCATGGGAGAGGCTTCCATGATTTGGGTCTGAGCAGAAGGCTAAGACCCTGCTTAAGGCAAAGCTGCTATTGCCAAGCCCACATGTGAATACTTGTGCATGAGCTTGCTGCAAGTGCTTCATGTTCTTGCACTTCTCTAACAGTTGCAGGCATCTACTGCTGCTGCCATATGATGACATTGGCGTCCACCTCTAAAACCATCTGTTCGATTGATAATGGTAATAAAAGTGGGAGATAATTGTGGGTGGGTGACGCAGTGCTTCTTAATCTTTGTTGAGATGGTTTCACCGAGTAGCATTTAAAATGCTTTCGTGTTAAAAGCCATAACAAGATTGCTTTCATAGCTCAGTTGGTTAGAGCACCCGTTTAGTAAGCGGGAGGTCTTGAGTTCGACTCTCAATGAAAGCATTTTTGTATTTTTTAAACTTTTTAATTCTTCGCTTTGGAACTTGGCCCTCTAATTACCTTAACCTTTTTCCTCTTTGTTTTTTTTTCCCTAATCCAAAAATCCTTTTCTTTTTTTATGAAGAAAAAGAGGGAAAACCTCCAGATACCAACACAACAACTAACTAGTACTAATCAGACGCACCTTAACAGCTCCCAATGAATCATTAAGCAACAGATATCCAAGTCAGGCAAGGACTCTCCTCAAGATAGCAACAGCCCAGATCCAGATTGTGACTCCATCAGCTAAAAATCCTTTTCTCTTTGCCAGAATCCAAAAATCCTTTTCAAGATAACCTTTTTTATTCTAACCCAAAAGTCCAATTAGAGATAAGAATCGATTGGACGAGGTGGTGTTTGGTAGAAAGCTTGAAACTCAACACACACACTCAGTGTCAAAAACCAACCAATAATATGTTTCTTAATAATACAACACGAGTCAATCAGTATAACCCTTAACCATGTTCATATCAGTAGATGAGCAAAGAAATTATTATTTCAAATTGGATAAATAGATAACACCACAAAAGATTCAAAGATTTGGTTTTTATCAACATTTGGATACTATTTTTCTCCTAAGGAGATACTACTCATTCTTGCGAATCACAGTTTGGAACATATGCAAAAATAATTCATGAAAAACACAAAAAGAAAAACTTCTGCACACATATTACAATGCTATTGGCAGGAACTCTTACTTACATGGTAAGGAGAGAAGTATTTTTCTCAACATTTAAGTTTAACTGAATCAATGGTATGTACATCAACAAATACTAGAATTTGAAAGACGACCAAATTACAGAGATTTTGTCGTTATCAATATCTGACTATTATCCCCAAACAAACTCCACTTTTCTATATAGATGTCATCTTTCTTTCACGGCTTTTTGTATGTGGAAAAAGATGGTCAGACTCAGAGCACTTATATGCTGTATCTTTGTATCTTGGTTTTCATTATCTTTAGCTGAATATGTTGAAGTCAGCGTTGAAGGGGTTACTTCAATAGCCAGCACAGATGATAATTTCATATGTGCAACTCTGGACTGGTGGCCAACTAACAAATGTGACTACAATCAGTGTCCATGGGCAAAGGCTGGCATCTTCAATCTGGTATGTATGTTTTGTTTTGCTTTCTCTGCCTACTCTTTCATCTTCTTTATGAACAAATTGATGAGGAGCTGAACTTTCTTGGTAATTTGGGCCTTTTTTGCAGGATTTGGATAACAAGATCTTGAACAATGCTATCAAGGGTAAGTTTCTGAATAGAAAGTACTATTCGTTTACGGTCACATCACAGGGGGACTAAATTTGTTAATATAATTTCAGCTTTCAATCCAATGAGAATCAGAGTTGGAGGCTCATTGCAAGATCAGGTGAATTATGGTGTTGGATATGGAGTTAAATCATGTGAAGGTTTCAAAAAACAAGAGTCTGGTTTGTTCGGGTTCAGTGATGCTTGCCTTGACCAGAAAAGATGGGATGAGCTCAATGACTTCTTTAACAATACAAAGTAAGTATATATGCTGATCTTTTGTGTATACAAAGCTGTGCAGGAACTAGGAAGCTCCATGGTTATTTGAACATTTGCTAGCAAACTCACGCATTATTGATTGTTGTAGAGCTAAAATCACATTTGGGTTGAACGCCCTCCAAGGTAAGCAAGTGTCTCCCAAAGACAAAAGTCTCCGGATTGGTGACTGGGACCCGCAAAACTCTCGGGATCTCATGGAGTACACTATTGCAAAGGGATACCAGATTGATTCATATGAGCTTGGTAAATAAATTATTTTTAATTTTGGCTTAGATATGTACTTATATATATAACTTGATTGTGCTACTCATTAAGCGCAAATGCTAACAGGAAATGAGCTAGCCGGGAGTGGGGTTGCTGCAAGGATAGAAAGTGATCAATATGCAAAAGACATCAAAAAGCTCAAAGAAGTTGTGACAGAATTGTACCCAGATGCCTCTAAACGACCAAAGATTATAGGCCCAGCTAGCTTTTATGACAAAAAATGGTATGAAAACTTCCTGCAGGCTACAGGACCCGGTGTCGTAGACGTGGTAACTCATCACCTCTACAATCTTGGTGCAGGTACATAATCATGCCCACTTCTGGACCAGGATGTGTGTCTGTGATTTGATGTATATTTGATGAAAATATTGGGATTGCAGGTGTTGATCCCGTCCTTATCGACAGGGTTCAAGACCCATTTTTCCTTTCAGAGATAGCTCAGACATTTTATGATCTGTCAAATACAATCAAGGAGTTTGGGCCATGGTCAGAAGCTTGGGTTGGGGAAGCAGGTGGAGCTTATAACAGTGGTGGCAAAGATGTGTCACATACCTTTGTTAATGGCTTCTGGTCAGGACCTTTTCTCTAGCTTTAATAATTTAGAAAGACACACACAAACAAAACAAATGTGGATCTAACTTTGATTGAAATAGGTACTTGGACCAACTTGGCATGACATCAACCTACAACCATAAGGTTTACTGCAGACAAGCCTTGATTGGAGGGAACTATGCTCTTCTTAATACCACAACATTCATCCCTAATCCGGACTATTATGGGTTAGAATCTCTGCCTTAAATTTTTGTTAACTTAAAATGATCAACTAACTTATCTTGACATGTTCATTGGATTTTCCTTCTTTTTTTTTTCTTTTTTTTTTTCTGCTTTTCCACCAGTGCTCTTTTATGGCATCGACTAATGGGAAATAGGGTGCTCTCCACCACGCACCTTGGCTCCCCTTATTTGCGTGCATATTCCCATTGCTCAAAGAATCAGGTAACTCAATGTTTCAGACCTCAGATTTCAATTAGCCTCTGCTTTTTTGATACTTAAAAGGATCTTTAACATATCTGACATTCACAACATATTTTGTTTCAGAAGGGTATCACTCTAGTTTTGATCAACATGTCCAACACGACCACCTTCGACGTTGCTGTCCACCCCGACTACAATTTGTATCTGGGGCCAATACGGGTGAGAAAGCGTGGTCGTATAGTTGGACGAGAAAGAGAAGAGTATCATTTGACACCAGAAGGTGGCAATATTCAAAGTGATGTGGTGCTGCTCAATGGAAATCCTTTGAAGCTCACAAATTCATCAGACATTCCTAAAATGGAACCAAAACTTGTGGATCCTACCTCTGCCATCAGTGTTGCAGCTGATTCAATTGTCTTTGTATCTATTAAAGACTTCCATGCCCCTGCTTGCGCTTAGCATAAACTTTTTGTTATATAATTCATTAGCTACCTTTTTTTTTGGGTTCTTAGAATAAAATGTCTTTAGCTTTTGGTAGGGTTGTAATCTAAGTACTCTTCCGAAATAGAAGATTAGCATTGTTATCTGTGATGTTGTGATCACACATGCTTTGTTCTTTGGAAGTCAGAAAGCTAAGAATCAAAGGAAAGAAGGAATGCTTTTCTTCACCAGAAAGGCCTTTTTTAAGATCCAAACCAGGCATTACGTGCATCCAAAGTATACTTAAGTTTTCTTGCCGCCTTGGCCCTAACAGCAGCCTATTAACTAGCTCTCCTTCCCTCTAAGCTTAACCTTCAAATAAACACCAGCTTCTTATGGGTGCCAAATCATTACTTGGAAGAAGAACTTTGGGGGCCAGTTTCATCTGAAAGATGGAGCCTTTGCTTAAGCAAATAAGGTATTCCGACTGTAACTTGGAAAATTGTTGATTTGTTTTAAACATGTAATTATGATTATTAGTCTTAACCAGAGGAGATCATCCATTTAAATATGACTAATCACTATTGTTAGGGTGAGATTTTCTGGTGTAAGACAAGAGAAGACTGAACATGATCGTAGAATATCGCCACAGAAAGCTCAATCTTTCAAAGGTAATATTTGAACCCGTTTTCTCGGGAAAATATCACCCATTTTCAAGTCAAAAGAAAACAGATTTTCTGGTTTAGAAACAATTTTTCAGGATGATCAGATTGTGAACCCCTTACGCTGTTTCTTGCAGAGAAAAGGAAACCCCAGAATTGGTTCCAGAGACAGCTGTCGGGGAAAATGAGTCAAGACTATGATTCTAACAAGGCAATAGAGCATGCAACCGCAGTGGCAGCAGCTGCATATGCCATTAAGTCAATTGAAGACTCAGCCATCTCTGATCAGAAAAAGACCGGCAATGAGCCGAAAACCTCTTTGGTGAGGATCAAGAGCAAAAAGGAAGAAACAGCAATTTCGAAGCCGGAACCTGGAAGAGTTTCCAAACTATTCCCAGGTAAGATAATATGGTTAACATTCTTATGACAACTAAAACTGAGTTCCCAGTTTTTATTTGCAAACTGTGAGTTCATAACCAAGAAGATGGCCTGTATTAAGTGCAGGTTCAACTAAAAGTAGTCCAGAACGAAAACATCCAGATGGTACTGCCACAACTGGGAAGGTCCCCGGAAAGGCTCCGTCAATAAAAAAAACTCCAACTTTTGCTGATAAGCAGTTGAACAGCACTGACAGTATAAAACCTGAAACTGCAGCACCACAACCCCTTCGTTCCCCGTCAATTAAAAACACTCTAACTGTTGCTGATAAACAGTTGAACAAAGCTGACAATATAAAACCTGAGACTGCAGGCCCTTCAAATGAAACCATGAGGCAGAGTGCAACAGAACCTGGAACGAGAAAAACACAAGCAGATATTTGGGAGGAGAATAAGCTTGCTATGCTTAAAGAAAGGTAGCTACTCAGCATTGGCGAACATTTTACGTGATCTAAATTCTTTATTATATTATGTTTAGAAACTCGAGCATACCTAAAATGGTTACAGAAAATAACATGGTTCTCCTCCTAGAATTCAAGATCATATGCTGTTCTTTCTCTTATTATATATTGAATTTGAATGAACTACAGATTCTTGAGAGCTTCCACCTTGGAATTTAAGATCATATTCTGTTCTTCCTCTAACATTCATGATTGTCAGGTATGAGAAACAAAACGCCATAATACTTTCCTGGGAGAGCAAGAAGAAGAAGAAAACCAGACGCCGATTCAGTACAAAAGAGGTTTTGTTTCAATTCTTTATCAAATGTAATACTTTGACCATATGGACTAATAACCAACTTAAACTTATTGAACCTGCAGAGTGAAATAGACCAAAAAAGAGTAAAAGCTCAACGAAAGTTCAACAGAGATATGGAACATATTAAACAGATTGCAGAGGGAGCAAGGGCACAGGCAGAGGAGCGGTACAGAAATGAAGTCTTGAAGGCAAAAGAAAAGGCAAATGCAATCAGAAAAACAGGGAAAGCTCCTACATCATGTTTCTGCTTCTAAGTCGACCAATTATAGATACTCCGCTACTTTCAAGATTGTAAATATTTCTTACAGATCCTGTATGAAACTCAGAGTGCAATCACAATAAGATGGCAGTTCCACCATGATTATTCATACCATATTAAAAGCACGTACAAATCAACTAATTAGATGGTACTAAGACCACAAATGAAGTTAAGAGTAAAAGACAAGGCCTTTGTCAGGAAACCAATCAGACATCCCACGCTTGTGCTGTTGAATGTATAAGGTATCCCAGGATGCATCAAGCTGAAATTAGAAGGCAATAATACTGACTGTTCATTGTATAACGAATAAGGACGAGCCTCGGAGCCTAGGCCTCCCAAAGGTTTACACCAGTCAAATGACTTTCCCAAATCTATTCATGTATGTTGCACAGATTTCATGAAACAGATTAGACATGAAAGTCAAATAGTTGTTTTCGGTCATTTTTTCCGGCCTTCAAGTAAGCGTGCATGTAAAAATTCACTAACACAACTTCAAATACTTCCTTAAAAATCAGTTGAGCAATAGGAAATCAGCCACTTCCAATAAACAATGGTAGTTACATTAATGACAATCATTCAAACTCAGACTCCAGACCTTACAAATTACCCAAGAAACATGCCTCATATACTCTTGAAACTTCCACTGTCATGCATACCACGTAATCCGAGAGTGCTCTGGATGCCGAAGGCTCAAGTTAGCATAATGTGCTCTACTTTGATGAAAAAAAATTTGGATGACAACTGGAAGAGGATAGTTGGAGCCATATGGTTCTAAACAGGGTGACGAGCCAATAATTCCTGGTCATGAGGTTATCTCCCTCACCAACCTCTCCAAAATAGGGTATGCAAAGTACAATAGGAAGAAAGAGGGGATTGCGAAAACCACTGTGAGTAACAAGTAGAGGGCCAAAATAATAGCACAGCCAGGTATTGCAAAAAAGACAATCAAAAGAAACACAATGACTAATGGGAACTTGGATGTAATGTGAATGAAACTTTCCAAAGACTTCTGCAGGGAGAAATGATGCCGCTCGACATGACTACCCCTATCATCGTGGTTATACCTCGACAGCGAAGGGCAACTAGAATGGGTCCTCCTCAGGTTACTGTTGCCAGTTTGATTTCCAGTAGCTAAACTTGCTCTTGGAGAACCAATTTGTTGATTCTCCCCACTGAGTGCAGAACCAAACTTTACCCTTTCACCATTGAAGCTCTCAATCATCCAGAGAAGGAAGAAATTCTTGCGTGGAAACTTTAGGTTCCCCTTATAAACCAGCCGCAAAGACAACAAGTGGCACCACGGGCAAGCAATGAAAAATGGGATCTTAAACTTTTGAGAGGAGAATTTAAAGAGAGCCCATTGAAGCCCCAAGACACAATTTCTGCACAGGGTATGACCACACCATAAGACATGGGGCACATTCTCGACAATGTTAAAAGATTCCAGGCATATAGGGCATTCTAACCCCTCCTCTTGGCTTGAATTTGAGCAGACTTCATCGTCCGAGGAGTCCAAACAAACCCGGCTTGGCTCTGAGGAGCTTCTTTTAAGTCCAATGCTTGTGATGGCATTAGAAGCAAAACCCCACATCACACCAGACAAACAAGGGCGATACAAGAGAAGGGGTTAACTGCTAAAACTGTAGAAGGTGCAACACCAAATTGAATCTTCAAGAATTCTTCTAGCGTATCCTGTCAACAACAAGCTAGTTCATAGACCGAAGTCTAGAATGAAAAAAAAAACAGCGTATAAATTGCAACAATTTCTTATATGAAATAATTTGCCATTATCTAATTCTAACATATTAAAACTTATTTTTTCCTTCACAATGCAGCATTATTAGGCCAAAATTATCCCACCAAAACCAAATAAAACGTCAAATTGAATTTTGATAGAGTAGAGAAACAAACATTTACGCAGACACGACATGATGAGCTAGGAAACCAACTACCCAACAAAGAACTGAGTGAAATATGACTTGGGAGTACAACGGAAATTAAGAATTTTTATGAGGAAAAATTGCCGCAACATTTCAATTTGGCATAGATTTTATGAAAGTAAATTCGAAATGATGAAGAAATAAGGGGTGAAACCAAACGTTACCTAAATTGCTTCATTCGATAATTGAAATTCCACGGGATTTGGAAAGAAGAGAGAGAGACAAGATGAATGATCAGCTCGCTTCCTCTGTCTCTCCGATCGCCGTAGCGTGTTCGTATCATATAACTGAATCGCTGACAGGTAAAAAGAAAGAAACCAGAAACGATGTCGTGCGAATACCACGGTGTTAAAAAATTGCCGGGTGCCAGGTGGCGAAGCCCGTGTCACATGGATTCTAGTTAGGTCTGGTTGGAAAAGAAAAATGTAGAGGTTCGGATTAGAATCATAAGAATAATTTCCGCATTAAAAAAAATCATAAGAATAATTTATATTTTCAGTAATATTTTATCACAGTGAGTTAATATTAATATTTCTTATAACTAAACTCTAAAAGATGACTGGAGACATATGTTTAACCAAGTTGGCTAAAGTGAATGTGTTCTTTACTTTGTACCTGAGTTCGAATCTCCCTCCACTTCACATAGTTTAGATTAGTTTAAAATAAAATATTGCTTTTATAAAAAATAAAAAATTCTAAAAGATGACTATTAGACAATTAGAAGAAAAAAGGAAGAAAAAGGTAACTCAATTTGTTACACCAGTGAGTTTTTTTTTGTTTTTTGGGTATTGGAGTTACACCAGTGAGTTAATGGAATTCATATTGGCTTACCGTAGAATCCATTTAGAGCAATGTATTAGTTTCTTTTGTAACTAAATATATTGTTAGCCAATTTTTGACTTGGTTTACTCACAGAATCACATCTCATCCTCTGTAATTTCTTACTTTTTAGAGCAATGTGTCGTTTGCCCCCTGAATTATGACCCTAATCGAACTTACCCCATAAACTACAATATCTGCCAATTTAGCACCCGAATTAATTGAAATGTTTCACTCATGCAATTAGATTTTAGATAATTTCATCCAATTCTCTGTTAATTTTAGGTATATATTTGTATTTTCAAATAAAATAAAAATTAAATACATAAAATCTAAAGAGAGAGAAAAAAAAACATTATTAAATTTATAATAAATAAATAAAACCTAGCCCCAGGCTCTTCCCCACAGCCTCATCCCACCACCTGACTAAGACCTCCGCATTGCTTTGGGTTCCTTTCCTATATTTTCCATGCAACCCAAATTCCCAGAATTCTCGACCAAACACCAATTAATCATCCACAAAAGTGAAAGAAATTCGAGGAATGAAGAATGTACAGAACCTGTGGATGAGGAGACAGTTAGGGCCGATAATTGCAGACTTGGACTTCAAGTTCAGTGAAAACTGTTGCGAGTTGGAACTGGAGTACGAATTCGGATTCAGATTCAGGTTATTAGAGTTGGAGTTTCCTTTGGTGGAGTCTTGGTCGTCGGCGATGGCGTTGGCTTGCGTCTCCCAGGTGTAGAGAGAGAGAGAGAGAGAGAGAGAGAGAGAAGCTTATGGTTGTGGTGCGTCAGAGAAAGAGAGAAGCTTGTGGTAGGGGGTAGGGGTTTGGTGGGAGCGCTTGGTAGGTATTTTTTTTCGGTTTCATGTTTATATTTTCTATAGCTTTAGATAGTAAAACAATCAAATAGTAACTCAAGTGGATGACACATTACTTTTTGGACGGAAAAGTAGATCAAATTTGAAAAATTTAACGGCGTTGGTGAAATTATAGATATTTTTAATTCGATGACTAAATTGACCGACTTTTTAATTCAAGAGTTAAGTTCGATTAAGGTCATAGTTCATGGAAGAAAAAGGCAAAAAATCATTAATTTTTAAGTAGGAACTTGAGTATTGTTGAATTAAAAAATAGGGAGTTAGGAAATCATATTATATAAATTCGAAGTTTTGTGGGATACGTATAGTAATTAATGATATACATATTCGACCAATAGACGATATGGGTAAGCTGCCCAACTATCAACTAAAATCCAACTAGATTGACAGTAATGTTTATAACCTTTTCAAATCCAAAACACAATTGGTCTGCTCGGAATGGGATATTGTATGATATGGGTATGAGGTTAGAAAGCAGGTCTAAGCAGTATACCGCTGTTTTGCATTCGAATTCGAATCTCCTCGCTTACATTATAGTTCTTTTGTAAAAATAAAATAAAAGAAAAATGGCAATCTACATTAGAAATCCACAGTACATTATACATCGAACGCATTACACAGGAAGGCAGGCCCCAAGACTAAAAAGTCCAGGCCAGGCCAGCACAAACAAAAACTACACCAAAAATAGGAAAAACAAACAGAGGGCCTCCAAAACAGCAGAACAAGGCCCAAAACTTAAGTACAGAATTAAGGCCACATAACATAATTAGTGATTAATCATATCACTTTTTCTTAATCAACCCTTCAAGAAACCCTGAGCCATCTTAAAATAATCTCCAAATCCACCAGATCCGCCCTCATCCTCATCAGTTTTACTGGGTTTCTTCTTGGTCTCATGCTCACCGCTGCCCGAATCATGCTGCTTTTTTTCCTTTCCCGCAGTATCGCCGCCGCTTCCTCCGCCGCTTCCGCCGCTTCCTCCGCTGCCGTACTTGCGGAGCATATCCTCGGCCTTGCTGACGTAGCTGCCCAGGCCTTCTTTCTCATTGAGCCCGCCGTAGGAAGAGGCAGCGTCTAGAATGTTGCTCGCAGCATCGCAGACCTTGGCCTTGTCCACCTTCTCGCCTTTCGCTGCTCCAGCGATAATCTTGGCGCTGGCCATCAGCTCGCTGGTCGATGGCTTCGCGCCTTTGGCTGGCTTCGCCCCAGCCGCATGCTTGTCCGGGTGGGCCCCGGTCGCCGTCCCGGTGTGCGCTTTCCTCTCGCGATATTGATCCTCCTGATATTCTTCGTCCTCATAACCTTCAGCCGTCGATGGTTTCGCCGGTTTCGCCGCAGCTGCATGCTTGTCGGGATGGCCATAGCCTCTGGCCCCAGCGGCGGCTTTTTTCTCGCGGTATTGGTCCTGATCTTCCTCCTCATAATCTTCAGCAGAACCGTAAGCTGCGGATGGCTTTGCAGGTTTGGCTTTGGTCACATTGCTAGCTTTTCTACCGCCATATTGATCCTCGTAATCTTCTTCATCATCTTCAGCGGAACCGTAAGCTGATGGTTTCGCAGCTTTGGGTTTGGTCCCAGTGGTGTGCTTTCTCTCGCGATATTGATCCTCCTGATCTCGCTCTTCATCTTCGTTTTCTTCAGCAGAAGCGTAAGCTGTGGAGGGTCTCGAAGAAGCTTTGGGTCTGGTCCCAGTGGCGGGCTTTCTCTGGCGATATTGATCCTGGTCTTGTTCTTCTTCTTCATAATCTTGAGCAGAAGTGTAAGCTGGTTTGGCAGCAGCTTTGGGTCTGGTCCCAGTGGCGGGCTTTCTCTGGCGATATTGATCCTGGTCTTGTTCTTCTTCTTCATAATCTTCAGCAGAAGTGTAAGCTGGTTTGGCAGCAGCTTTGTGTCTCCCAGTGGTGCGATACTGATTCTGACCTTCATCTTCCTCATAATCCTCAGAAGTATAAGCTGAGCGCCGATCCATTTCGTAATTCAAGGAAAGATAGTGTAATTGCCAAGATGATATGACTTGCTTGTATGGGTGAATGGTGAATGGTGAATGGCGAATGGTGAATGAATATATACGAGTGTCGGTGGGTTTGTGACCTTTTTTTTTGTGATATACCCGTTATTCACGCGGCATCCACAAGCAAAGCTTTTATTTTGGGTGATGTTATGTTATTGGAGGGTCTTCTTTTTCATGCTTTTTTTTCTGCATAATCATAAATAGTAAAAGCAAGAAAGCACAAATATTAATGGGCTGATGGGTCCTCCTCAGCCTCGCCTCTCTCACGCAGGGTCAGAGGGGGGACACGGGCAATGCTGTTGGCCACACGTTTCTTGTGGCTCTTGCTGCTCTTCCTCTTCACCCTCCTAAAGATAAACATCACGGATATTTGTGAGCAGAGCATTGATGATAGGTACACGTGGCACCATGTGGAGACGACACGCCCCCTCTTCAACTTGATTTCCAACTGCTTGAAAGAGACTGAAAGGTGCAAAGGGCAGAAGATTTGAGTTTGAGTTGACAATCTTGGGCTTACTTGTGAATTGGGCTGCCATTTGTTTGTTTTTGTTTCGTTTTTTTGGGGGTTGGGAAAATGACAAAAAAAACCCTTGTTTCTCTCCATTTCAAGGGCGCGAACGTCATTGCGTACCAAAGAGAAAGTAGTTGGTTGGATAGAGTGTTGTCATTTCTCGATGTGTATTGTTTTCATAAGGGGAAAGGAGCCAAGGCTTTTTATATCTATCTAATATCTGTACATGACGACATTCTATGATGCCGACAAAATGACCACATCGTGACACATGAAGGTTTTACTTAATGCAAGACTCAACCCTTATAAAATCAAGAGCGACTTACAAGTAAGTAACACAAGTACCTAGTGCTCCTTCTCAAACATTGCTAGTTAATTCCAGATCATATAACAGATGGTCACCCCAAAGGAGTGATGCTGAGAACACAAGAGGCATTGATTGCTAAATTAATGGTGTTAGCATAACTAATGTACTTTGTGTTCTCAGGTCACCCCTTTGGGATACCTTGTTTACATGTATAATATATTTTGGAACTTTTCAATGTGTTTAGTATAACTATTTGTTCAATCAACGAACCACAGGTTTACATCTAAAACATGATTTTCTATTGTGAGAAGAAAAATACCACTAAATCAAATTTAGTTTTGGTTACATGTATTTTTTTATGTATTTGTTTTTTAAATTTCTTAGGTTATATACCGGACAGATCAATCTCGGAGTGGCACACAAGCATATCACAATACCACCGCACAGTGGGACTACCGTCCACTATCACCACTAAGTCGCGACTTGTCCAGCACGAAAAAAACCGGGAAGAATTGAAATTCGCCAAAACCCTAACTCCGGCCTTGTTCCGTACAGCTCGCCATGGACATGGAGATCGATCCTCCCAAGTCATCCGAGCAGCAACCCAAAGCCGAAGACTTGTTTAAAGCCGCTGAGGCTGGTGATGCTTCGGTGTTCAAATCGCTCTCTCAAAAGCAGCTTGCCGAAGCTTTGTCTCTCAGGAACGATGACGCCCGCTCCGTCCTCCACGTCGCCGTCTCTTCGAGTAACTCTGAGGTCCGTCTTCTTTCACATAACATTCCTCCGTATCCCATTTGGTTGCCCAGAAACTATAGGAAAATAATAGGAAATTTGTGCAAGTATCCTCAATTTGCTTCAATTTTAACGCTTTCTGCTTCAAAGTCGATGATTTTGTGGCTATCTGTGGAGGCAGGTGGTGAAGGTACTACTAGCTGCTGATGAATCAAAAAATGTGATAAACAGTGTGGATGAAGATGGATGGTCACCGCTTCATTCTGCGGCCAGCATTGGGAATTCTGGAATAGTTGAGCTGTTGCTAAGCAAAGGTAAAGGTGTCAGATTTCCTAGTTTCTGCTTTATGTCGTTTTTAGCACCTTTAATAGTGTCAAGTTTGACTCTGTGTTTGGTTAGGCAATGTTAGGCGTTGTGAATGGTAAATTTTGACCAGTGGTTTAATTGGAATCTCAATGTTCTGATTTATTGTTCTTAACAGGAGCTGATGTTAATTTGAAAAATGGTGGGGGTCGCTCTCCTCTTCATTATGCTGCCAGCAAGGGATGGTTGGAGATTGCTCAAATTTTGATCTCACATGGAGCAAAGGTTAATCTGAAAGACAAGGTGTGTAACTTCAAACAATAGTGTTTTATCTGGGGAACTTTACTTTCAGTGTATATCCATTTTCATGAGCACCATGTGTTGATATCATGTTCACATGTTCTTTTAATTTCTTGTAATTGCTGAATTCTAATTATATGGTATGCGTTGCGGTTAGGTTGGTTGCACCCCATTGCACCGGGCAGCTAGCACTGCGAAATCACAGTTGTGTGAACTTTTAATTGAGGAAGGCGCAGAGGTTGACGCTGTTGATAGATTGGGTCAGACTCCTCTTATGAGTGCAGTGATTTGCTATAACCAAGAGGTAGGTTTGAGTGCTTAGTTAAAGAATTACATTATTGATTGCACTTTTATTGCATTTTGGATATAAACTCATGCTCCCTCCAATAAGCTAATTGGGATTGAGCATTTCTGGTTCTAGTTATAGGAATGAAATAAATAGTTTGGGAAAGAGGTCTTAGTAAATGAATATTTTGGTTGTAATTTATAGAATTTCAATTTTCTTTTCTTTAATTATTAACTTGATTGGAATATATGAGCTTTTTAGAGCCTGTTGAATGAGTGCTTAATCTGTCCACTAAAGCTGGATGGCTTGTGATATATGAGGCATGTTGCATTTCTATGTTATCAATTTGGTTACCAAGTTGACATGGAAAGAATTTTGTATTAACTTCTGGTCTAGTGTAGCCGCAGAAAGCATAATTCAAGGTTTTCTCAAATCTCTGTTAAATTAATTTCTGTTGGTGACAGGTTTCTCTCCTTCTAGTAAGGCACGGAGCAGATGTTGATGTGGAAGACAAGGAAGGATACACTGTGCTTGGTCGAGCTTCAAAAGAATTCAGACCACTATTGATTGATGCTGCTAAGGCCATGCTCGAAGGATGATTCTTTTGCACTAAAAGTGTAAAACTTGTCTAAGGCAGAAGTTGCACTCGTGATGTTTAAATTGCCACCGTCAATGACCAATAGAAACAAAGAGAAAATAGGAGTTTTTTTTTTTTTTTTTTTATTTTTTTCAAACCATTGTTGCATTGCATGCTGACTGTTTTGAATTTTAGTTTCAGTGAATGTACCTCTAAGATATCGTTGTTTGGCATTTTCTAATTTTGATTTAAAGCAAGTTCAGGCTCTCTGTTTTAGCAATCACCATAACCATGTTGTGCAGAAAACTCCCAACTATCTTATTGTTGATGGACTTTAGACAAACACACAATGGATGTGTCAAACACATACACACATAAAATAATTAAGCACAAAGGACACAAAAATTTATAGAGGTTCAACAATTTGTCTACATCCTCTTTGGTGATCTTCCTAAGAAATTTCACTAATGAATGTAGGTTACAACTTTGGTTTACCAATAAAAACCCTTTAGAACATTACCCTTACAATCTGTTTCTCTCACACCCCTTGCTCAACACTTTGATGCACTTGTGAACGCTCTCACACTTGGTTTTCTCTCTTACTCATTGGCTCTTAGCTACTTGGCTTTCTTGCATCAGTTCCTCTTTATAATGTTGGTGTAGATCAACCTTTGAACTTAAGAGGAAGCTTCCTCTAACTGCACATCAACTTTCAGCCACCTTACCTAGAGCCAAAGAATAGGGGGACCATGAAACAAGTCAACATTGGAGAATTGGATTGTTTCTAGCGGGTAATAGAGAGTACTTGAAAAATATCTCATTTGTTTACTCACATTGGAGAACTCTAAGTAATGGGCTTTGACTTTGGTGCTCCCAAGTAGCTAGCCCAAAGTATCCATTATCCAAGAGCTTCCATGGGCCTTGTGGACCTCCGTAACCTTCAACACCACAACCTCTCGTGCAAGGCCCGTAAACCACATGACTTGGGTTCATGTGAGCTTGGTAGGTGATTGTCATAAAAAAACAAAAATGTATTAGTCTTGCATGGAGTTATTTGGCATGTGCTTAGAATGTTTGGGCATGTGTTGCAGTGGCTTGGGCCTCTTGTGATCAAGCTTAGTGACATATAAAAATTAAATGAATAGGTTTTTGGCATGACATGGATGCTATTAGAATTTTTATAAAAGTTTGTGTACATATTTATTTTGTCATATTAATTCTTGAAAATATAATTGGAATTTAAATACATGACCAATTTATCCCTTATTTCGTACATCATATTGGGCTTTAAATGCTTTTAGGCTTGTTGTGACTTTTTGGGCCTCAACAATAATCCCTATTTTTTGTGCCAATTATCTTGCCTAATAAATGACTTAATTAATTTGACCTAAGAGATATTCTTTTTGTCCATGTGGTGTCTCTTGATTGGATGCTAAAATATTTGCTTCCATAACTCAGTATCTCCAAGAGAGTCTTCAAATTTTAGTCAAATTCTAGATAAAATAACTAGAAAGCTATTATATCAAACCACTTAAAAGGTGTTTCCTTCAGCAATGTTATCTATTTTGGCTAATCTTGAATTTTTTTTTTATTATTTTCTCTTTCTCTTTCTCTCTCTTTCTCTTGCAAATCCAATATATTAAAAAGAAAAAAAAATTAAAAAGCAGAAACCCAACCCCACAAACCTCCCAAATGTCTCTTATCTCTCTCTCCCTTTTTGTCTCTCCTCCTAGCTAAATTCTCTCTCCTCGCTAGATGTAAAGAGTCAAAAGTTGGTTCTCCAAAATAGAGAGCCAAGTATGGAGTATGCTGGAGGAGGATTTTCTTTCTTTTTAGCCAAAGTAGCTAGGAATGAGAGGATAAAAAGTCTGTTGGAAATGCTCTAAGAGAGTCCAAATTTTAGCTAAATTCTAGCTAAAATAGCTAAAAAGTTATTATAGTAAACCACTTAAAAGGTGTTTCCTCTAGCAATGTTCTCTATTTTGACTAATATGAAATATTTTATTGTTATTTTCTCTTTCTCTTTCTCCCTCGTTCTCTTGCAAATCCAATATATAAAAAATAAAAGTAGAAACTCAACCCCACCAACCTCCCAAATGTCTTTTTCTCTCTCCTCCTAGTCAAATTCTCTCTTCTCCTTACTCGATGTAGAGAGCCAAAAGTTGGTTCTTCAAAATATAGAGCCAAGTAGAGAGAGGATAGAGAGTCTTTCGAACTGGAGATAAATGACTTGCATTGAAATGGAGAAGCAAAGCACATGGAGAAAAGTCCTTGCTTTGCTCCGGACTCAACTTCTTTGCATCTTTTAGGTAAGCTAATTTTTCCCAACAAACCACACCTCCCTCCCAAGATGGCAGCAGGCTCCGGCAGCCTCCTCTGAACCCCCAAAACTCATGTCGTTATTTTTCCCAGCGCCGGCATGGCCATTTGACACCTTTTCTACAACTTGCCGCATTATTGCTTGCCCGAAACCACTACCCCCCACTGGAACTGACCCTCATCACCACCCACCCAACCGTGTCCCTAGCCGAGTCTTCTCTCATCTCTCGTTTCCTCTCAGCTTTCCCAGACCGAGTCACTCAAATGGACTTTCATCTTCTTCCTTTCGACCCTTCCACTGTCAACTCCACCGACCCATTTTGGCTCAAGTTCGAAGCCATTCGTCGCTCTGCTCACCTTCTCACTCCTCTGCTTTCCTCTCTGTCTCCACCTCCCTCTGCTCTCATCTATGACTTCAGTTTAATCACCCCTGTTCTTCCCGTCATCCAAAGCCTCCCTTATCACCTCCGTGCTTACATTCTCTTCACCACCTCAGCCAGAATGTTCTCTCTCTTTGCATCTTACCACAATTTGGTCGCATCCGCATCGACACCAGCTAACATCAACAACCCCACAATTCAATTTGGTGATGTTCTTGAAATCCCAGGAATTTGCCCGCCAATACCCAGATCGTCTGTGTCTCCATTGCTTCTTATCAGGAACAGTCTTTTTAGTAATATATTCTTAGAGGACGGTCCAAAGCTCAAAATTTTGAATGGGGTTTTGATCAATACGTTTGAAGGGCTAGAAGCAGAGGCATTACATGCGCTTAACGGTGGAAAAGTAACTTTCAATGATGGGTCTGGGTTGCCCCCAGTTTTTCCCGTTGGGCCTTTTGTGCCCTGTGAGTTTGAGAAGCTGCAGGGAGATGATGACCGCGATCAACTGAGAAACTGGCTTGATGATCAGCATGATGGGTCAGTGGTTTATGTGAGCTTCGGAAGCAGGACGGCCCTGTCAGGAGACCAAATCAGAGAGGTGGATGATGGGCTGGTCAAAAGCGGGTTTAGGTTCTTGTGGGTGGTGAAGGAGAAGCTGTCGTTGACAGGGAAGAGGAAGAAGAAGAGGGCAATTTAGTAATTGGGCATGAACTTATGGAGAAAGAGAAACTGAAGGGCAGGGGGTTGGTAGTGAAAAGCTGGGTGGAGCAAGGAGAAATCTTGGGTCACGGAGCAGTGGGTGGTCTTGTGAGCCATTGTGGCTGGAACTCGGTGGTTGAGGCTGCATGGCATGGCGTTAGAGTTCTGGCTTGGCCACAGCACGGCGATCAAAAGATCAATGCAGAGGTGGTCGAGAGGTGTGGGCTGGGGGTTTGGGCCAAAACTTGGCCTTGGGGCGGCGGCGAGAATGACAAGGTGGTGGTCAACGTTGAAGAGATTGGCGATAAGATCAAAGAACTGATGCCGAGTGAAGCTCTGAGAGTGCAAGCTGCAAGGATTGAGCAAGAGGCTAAGAAGACCGCTGGAGTTGGTGGGTGCCATGAGAAGATGTTGAAGAGACTCATTGACGAGTGGAGGAAAAACTAATTATGTAGAATCAATGTCGTATTGTAGCTCTTCACCAAAAATGTTCTGGCAAAACTTTTCTCAGTTTGCTATGTCTGTTTTGGTAATAATAAAAGGAACCAAACTTTCTGAAGTTTCTGTGTGCTTTCATTTGGACCAATTCGCATGGATCACATGTTCTGTTACGTTATAGACCCACAAAGCATCAAAATATAATTGAGTTGAATAATTGTTGTACCTGATTTTGGAGAAAAACTTAGTTGCAAAGCACTGTTTTACTATCCGGTCAATAATATCACATAAAAGTATTATCATGCCTGTCATAACATTATGGAGTCGTCGAGAATAGCATAATATTGTTATCTCCTTTCATGGAAGTCTCTCCTGATTTTGGCAAGCTCTCCCTGTATCTCCTCGGTCCCAAGTAATAAAAGCAAAACAGTCCTTAAATATATGAGAGTTTTTGGACCATATTGCATGGATGGCATGCGTCCTTCAAGAGATCTGAGAGTTTCATACAAGTCGTTTTCTTGTTTTTGGGTCATGTCTTCAAACAAATTTACAAGTTATGCCCCCAAAAGTGTAAAGTAGTTGATAGTTTTTTTTTTTCTTTTTCTGTGGCTGATATTAAGGGTAGATATTTATATGGCTCGTCCTTGTTATCCTTTGTTCAGCGCCAACAACCACCATGGTTTCCTCTTCTTCATTCTCAGCTCTCTCTCATCCTTCCTTTCAAATTCCATATACCAATTTGGATTTCTGTGAAAAACCCAGTAACCTTCATAACATAGTTCAAATTAAGAGCTATAGAAGACCAGCCACAGTCGTTGTTTCTTCTAGTTCTTGTCAAAGGTCTTCTCCTTCACCATCTCGCCGAGTTCTTCTTCATGGCTCTGTTTCTCTGGCTGCTTCAGCAGCCATTCTTCTATGCTCAGGTCCAGGTATGTAGTTGAAAGACCCAAGAATTAATATGGGCTTTCTTCTTATTTTCTTCTTCGTTTTGCAAACTTTCAGATTTCATTAGATTATCATTTATATTTTAAGTAAAGCATCAATCTTCTTGGTAATTATGTGTTTAGAAGAATGAAAATTTTTTGAGTGAGCAATTTGACGTTGCAGCTGAAGCCGGATTTCTATCAGGATCGACCGGGATAGAATCAATTCCTGGTCCTGAGTTGCCTCAAGTCGACTTTCTTAAGCGCTTCAATGGTTGGGTCCTCACTCACAGCTGATAACATTCATTTTTCAACTGGAGCACATTGAACAAGATTGATGAAAATGTTGTTTCATTCTTGCAGAAGAAAACCAGAAAAAGTATGCTGACAATGATGCAAGATTCAAATCAACTCCATTGCTCAAGGGGCTACTAGAAAAATCCAAGCTGAACAAAGAAAAGTAAGTTCTTGGTTGTCTGCTTAAGATCAAGCGCGTATTGTTACCGAAGTTTTGATACCATGTTAGACAACCATTTACCTTAAAAAATAAAGTTGTTAGGAAACGTTATCAAAATATATGTATATATATATATATATATATATATCCTGTTTCTGCATGATTTTCATGTATCAGTTAGTTTCTAATGTTATATGAACTTGGAAATATTCAGGAATAGTAAAGAAATTCAAGACAAGTACTGCATACGTGGGGCAGAGTGGGGAGTTGGAGATTGCTCGGCAGAGGGAATGTCACCTGACGAGAAAGACAAGTTCATTGCTACGTTGAAGGAGAAGGCTGGTGTCAAGGATTGACTGAGAGACCCTGGTTTTGCTTTGTTTCAAGCTTAATTTCTTAGTCCTTAGATTTGTTTTTTTCCATTTATGACCTTGATACGTGCCTTTGTAATATGAATACATATAATGATCATGAGTTCTAGGAGCATACATTGTGACAATCAGTTCACAATTTGACAACTCAGTTTATCAAACCATGATATAGGAAAATCTTTTTATTTTTATTTTTATTTTTAATACAAGTAAATTGAAGAAAAGGAGAATCGAACCTATGACGCCGAATATAGAGAGGTAAAGCTATTTAGCACTTGAGAGGTGGACCTATTAAGGCGCTGCATATTGCCCCTTTGGTGAGGTTGGGTGGTGCACTCAACTTGTTTGACAAATTGACTCGACCAAAACCAAGCTTTACTGGGTTGGGCCGTTGCTGGCGCCTAATATTTTTTAAAACATCCTGACCTAAACGACATCGTTTTGGATTTCACAAAAAAAAAATTCGATGGAAACTGAACATGGGCTTTAACAAGCTCTCTGATATTGGCCGCTTAAAACATGATAAAAGGCTATTAAAAAAGGTCCTTTAACAAGCTTTTGTTCTTCTTTTTTAAAAACAAATTTTAAAAAATGAAGAGATTGCACGACACACGAATCGAGGTACAATCATTATGATTTGCTTATTTAATTAATTTATCGTTAGATTAATTGATTATTTGACATTTATTTTTATATTAATTGATATATTATAGTCAATCAGTCATGATTGTAAGTCTAAGACCCTTTTTGTTTCAATTATAAAGATATTTGGTTGTCAATTTTTTATTTATTATAAAACTTTTAGACTCTCAAAATTGCACATTTACTAAAAAATTCATAACTCGAGTAACCATCATCACATTACACATATCACACCTGTATTTGATGCATCCGATATATATACAAGCGTGAAGAGACTAAATGAAAAAATTATTGAAAACTTAAACAAACAAAAAAAGTAACTGAAGGTTTACCATCTTAATTAACAAAATTCCAAAGGGGACAAAATTCCAAAGGGGACAATTAAACTTATGATTTCTATGCTACTTTTGCATCAAAATCGCACACCCGAGGAAACATTAAAAAATATATAAAGAATATACATGTCATGTCACACAAATTGGTTTTGGTAAAGAATTACCAAAGGATAATTAATCCGCCAAAATTTGTTTACTTACGCCTAAACAAAGATTTAAGTTAATAATTTAATTCAACCCAAAGAAAATAATTATTTTCATTTTTAAATATAAGAATGGCGGCTCTGGAATTTTAGGAAAGATGAAAGGGTGCTTCCGATATTCCAAGTCAATTCAAGACAAAAGACAAAAATACGAAATGAAAAGGAAGTCCAATAAAAGAATATAAAAATACTAGCTAATAATTTGTGTGTGTATCCTATAATCTATTCCTATTCCTGGGCAGAACCCAAATCAAATGTCCTTTGCAAGCTCAGCGAGCCCAGCAATAATAGCTGTCTCTCTCTCTCTCTCTCTCCTCACAGGTGCTTCCTCTCTTTCCCTTCCTCCACGAATTTTAGGATTTTCTTCCTTTTTTTATTTGATTTTCATTTGCTCCGAAAATTTCCGACTAGGGTTAGATATCCAGGCCCCTTGGTTCTATGTAATGGAGAATTGAATTCATTTCATTCTCCTACAGTTCCTCAATTACCAAACGAGAATTGCTAAGAAATTGAGCTGCTCTTAATTTGTTCCTGTGGCTCTGTAAGAGCTTGCTTGTGCAGAAAATTTGAATTTGGGTTTCTTAGCCAAGATAAACGAAAGAAGGAAGAAGAAAAGGTGATTATTTGGTTGAGATTACGCGCGGAATTGTAATTGGGAAACTCAGGTAAGGGTTTTCGTGGGTTATATGAAAGTTCATTTCTTGGATAAATTGTGTAGCTTTGTTGAAAATCATGATCTTATTTGTATAGAGATGTGATTAATGTGATTGTCACATGGCTGATTTCAGGGGAATTCTGTGTGATTAGTTTGGGTTAGCATTGTAGATTCATGTGGGAGTTGAAGCTTGAATTTTGAAACTTCTGGTGTATAGATAGTAGTGCTTTTGGCTACGGGACTGTGACTGTAATTCAGAGTCACAAAAATGTACCGGACTGTGGCCACAGCCACCACTGCAACCCGGGGTGGATCTCCAACTGATAATGGGGATTGTGTTGTGAGTTTGGATCAAGTTCCTCGATGGAGCAATGCAGATCATCGTTCTTCCTTGGAATATGACAATGAAGATCCTTCGTTTTCAAATAAATATTTTCCTGACCCTTTAACTTCTCAATCTGGAGGGGAGAGCAGTAGCAGTTGGATAGTCTCAAGATTTCCCGTTGACCATGAAATTAATTCGAAGATATATCTGTGGAGAGGGAACCCATGGAATCTGGAAGTTGATGCTGTCGTGAATTCTACAAATGAGGTGAGCACTAGATTATGATGATAAATCCTTGACAGAACATTGTACATGTGGATCACTGGGAATGAGAAACTTCATGATATTTAAACCTGGTTACATTGTCAATAGAGACATGGGGCTCACAAATTCTACTAGTCTGACATTCTTTTCAATTGGACAATTTACAGAACATGGATGAAGCACATTGCAGCCCTGGTTTGCATGCTGCAGCTGGACCTGGTCTTGCAGAAGAATGTGCAGCACTGGTATGCTAGTTATTCATTGTTTTTTAGCCATTGCTGTACTGAATTATTTTGTGTTTACTTATTAGCTCTAGAATGTTGTTTTCAGACATACTGTCCATGATATTTGAAATGCCATGTAAATACAGATTTATGTGTAAAATTGAAGATGTTGAATAGGATACTACAAACATTTTCAATGTCATAGGTTATGTATATTTTAAGTGAACCATTAATTAAAGCTTTCTGGCTGGTGTTCTGTCATAATTGATTAATATCAAGATTCAACTGATTTGATTTACCTTTGTTTGTTGGCAGGGTGGATGTAGAACAGGAATGGCAAAGGTTACTAAAGCGTACGACCTCCCAGCTAGGTGGGTATATTAATGCTGTTTTCATATAGAAAGCTCAATGTGCATTCACGCTGCAGACAACATTCTTGCCTAAGTGAATAATGTTTCTTTCCTTGTGCATTTATCCAGGAGAGTTATCCATACTGTTGGTCCTAAGTATGCAGTGAAATACCATACTGCTGCAGAAAATGCTCTGAGCCACTGCTATCGTTCTTGCCTTGAACTTCTCATTGAAAATGGACTGCAAAGGTGCATTTTTCTTCTTAGTATTTTAATTTATTGTGCCTCTCTTTTCTTTCCCTTTTGTTCTGTTCCTTTTAAAGTGTGGAGCTTACTTTGCTTGACCAACATAATTGTAGCATTGCAATGGGCTGTATATATACAGAGGCTAAGAACTACCCTCGGGAGCCAGCTGCCCATGTAGCAATAAGTGAGTTATTTTCTTACATGTTTCAGAATTGATAGATACAATATGCATGCCTATTTGTATGAATGCTGGATCACTCAAATTTCTATTCATTTATATGCATCCACGTTTTAATTGCTCTTGGATAATTATGTTTTCGGAAGGTTGAATGTATTTCTTTCATCCTTTATTCTCCACCTCATCTATGTGTGCTTATGTTCAGGGACTGTGCGGCGATTTCTGGAGAAGCAGAAAGATAAAATCGCAGCTGTTGTTTTTTGCACCACCACATCAACTGATACAGAGATATACAAAAGGTTAATAAATATAGCTATTTATTTATGGAATACATGTGAATTGTGATACTTCAACCATGATTTACACTTATAAAATCAACTCTTAGTTTTACTGCCTCATTCCCCTTCACCTTTTTCCAATTTAGATTGCTTCCGCTTTACTTTCCCCGAGACAAACTTGAAGAGGAGGTTGCCATGTCGAAGCTTCCTGCAGATGTAGGTGATGAAAATGGTGAGACAATTATAGATGAGCGCAAAATCAGAATAAAGCCTTTGCCCAAGAAGAATATTCCAAAGCCTCCTAAGGCTCCAGTTGATCTTCCTGTGAGTGATGTTGGCTTGGTAAGAAGGTTAGTCAATGACTCAATTAGAAGTAGTTTACATTTTATTGCAAAACTTAGAGCAGTTTCTTTAGTAATACCAAGAGAAATGCTTACAAAATGCTCACTGCAGAAAGCTGTTGAAGAATTCCATGTACACATATCAATGTGTTCAGATGTGTGCTGTGCAATTATGTTCTTTGTTGTTGTTGTTATCAAGCTTATGGTTCCTTTTGCTAGATATAACACTATCATTAGCTGTTTTGGTTTACATCATTAATTGACATGCTGAAGGGCTGTTATATAGGAATTCATCATATTTGGATTCATTTCTGGATCCTGCTTTCATGTCCTTAATAAAAGATCCAGATCAGAGACGCAAGGAGCAATGGGAGAAAACTGCTCAAGCACAAGGTGGATGGAATTGTGCTAAAATGCTTGGGTTTGGCGACCTTGGTGGACCTCCATTGTCTGCTGCAGAAGAATACTCACTTCATTCAAGATACCTTGCTAAAGCAAATTCTCTTCATCTTTCTGAAATTGCAGAAATGAAAATTGTGTAAGCTTTATAACTCTTTCATCTTTAACTCAGTGGCAGTTGTGGAGTCTTCAGGTTGTAATTTTCACTTCTGGACAGCTACTAATATATAAAGTGCTTTGCATTCTAATTTTCCTCTTCTTATTAGTAGCTCTTCTGTTAGTTGTTTTCATATCTCATACACAAAGAACAGGAGGTGGTTTTGTGTTGTTAAAACAATACAAATGTTGATATGTTGCTACCTAATGGTGGTTGAATCTAAAAATGTTATGAACCCTTCTATGAGATTTATAAATTTTAATTATTATTATAATTTGTCTTGAAATCATGTGGAGCAGAAGGAAAGGGTGTTAATAAGTGTCTTGTGTTGCAGTTTATATTAAATTTAATGTCTATATTTTTTTATGTATTTCAGTTACCGAGGTGGGGTTGACAGCGAGGGTCGTCCAGTAATGGTAGTTGTGGGGGCACATTTTCTTTTACGATGTCTTGATCTAGAACGATTTATACACTATGTTGTTAAGGTAGTACAACATTAAAATTTGTGTTAATCTGCATATATGATGGAGCTTTTGTATCTTTGGTAGTTATGGTTCTTGGTACTCAGATATCTATCTTGTTTATTGATTTACAGGAGTTTGAACCTATAATACAGAAGCCTTATACTATTGTATACTTCCATTCTGCAGCATCTTTACAGCTGTAAGTTCTTCATAGTTAAGTTTGCAAAGCTTGAAACAATTCTAAGGGTCGTTCACCCAAAAGAATAAAAACATAAGGAAAAAATGAGCCTTTTTATTCTAATCTATACTAAAGCTCCATGTGAACTTGTCTGGTGGAGTTTAATTTCTAACTTTGAATACAAGTGAAGTGATAAAACTGTACCTGAAAAGCTTATATGTAAATTTCTGTAACTAGTTCGGTTTCATTTCCTGCATGTATTGCAGTCAGCCAGACTTGGGGTGGATGAGAAGAGTACAACAAATACTTGGTCGTAAACACCAACGTAATCTGCATGTAGGTACCACTGAGTTTGTCCAAGTACTTCAGCAATTATATATCTGCCATCATCTCTCTGATCTTCATCTTCTTTATATAGGCAATATATGTCCTTCACCCAACTTTTGGACTGAAGGCTGCAATATTTGCTCTGCAATTGTTTGTGGACAATTTGGTATGCCTAACTTTCTTTGTGATTGTTATTCATTAAGAGTTCATATCACTTACAAAGCCTGCTTCAAGTGAATGTCATTCTAACTTTTGTTTCTAGGTCTGGAAGAAAGTGGTATATGTAGATAGATTACTGCAGCTCTTCAGATATGTTCCTCGTGAGCAGTTGACCATCCCAGACTTTGTGTTCCAGTTGAGTTTCTATGTTCCTTCCCCTACTTACCCCACTCCAATTTTTTATAGCAACTTCGATTTAAAATTCCAAATTTCCCAGTATGCAATGATTGTAATAAAATGTAAACAGAGGTTTGATTCTGATGATTTTGGTGACCATAATCAATGCAGGCACGATTTAGAAGTCAATGGTGGGAAGGGTCTTATTGTGGACCCAAGAACAAAGTATGTGTATCATCGACCATAGCGTCACACACACGGTTCCATTGGGCACACACTGAAGGAGATCCATGGCTTGTGATTTCTTGATTATATTTTCTTTTCTTATATCTTATAGTTAGATGGGAGTTGATTTTGTCTCGTGTAGAAAAAAGTTCAATTTTTTTTAAACAGTTTTTTTCTTCTGTTTCCTGAAGTAATGATCTGTTTGTATCTAAAGATGAAAATTAATAAATATTAATATTCTTTCTTGTATTATCTTGGACAAGTCATCAATAAAATGTAAGTTGGTTTGAGCTTTTTCTGAAAAACAATTTCAAGGAAGTTACTTGTGCATTTTTGTAGCCTGCAAATCAACCACCACGTAATCTTTTGTATACGGTGCTCGGGCTTTCCTGTTTTCTGCCAACCTTCCTTTTATTTTTCCCCAAAAAAACCTAAATTAAAATTTTCTCAAAGTGCCATGACACTATGACAGGGGGGAAACTTATTACAAAGAAAAAGGAAAAAATAGTTGCTCAATTTCTCAAAAACCATTTCAAGTTTCAGCCATGAAAAACTCAGAAAAAAGTCATACAATTAATATAAAATCTATTAATTAATTAAGCAAAAAATAAATATAAAAATTTACTATTGAGTAAAAAAAAATTTCGGATATTTCTCCTCTTGGTTCTCCAAGTCTAGTGGTTACACTTGTCAGCTTATTTTCCAGAGAAACAGAGTTCGTATCGTAATCCGCGACGCAGACGAAGGCGCGACTCAGCTTGAAACCGTTCCACACACTAATTTATACATTTTGGAAATTGTTTATATAAAATCTGGCAGACGAAGACGAACCCAACCAAGTTTGCTTCTTCTTTCCTTTCTGTGGCTACTTTCCGGTGAGCTCTCCTCTTACATACTCTCATGTTCTTCACTGTGAATTCTATTTCATGGGGAAGACTCAAGCTAATCGATTTGGTTTGCTTTTAGAATTGCTCTGGTAATTTTAGAACCCAATTAATGAGGATTTAATGGGATAATTTACAGAAAGATAAGCTTTTGATAAGAGTCTTCAATTGGGTATGTGTGATTATTTTCACTTCCGTTTTGTATACTTGGAAGTTGAATGTTGGACCAAAATGTGTTAGTTTTAGTAAAACTCATTTTGCAGTTGTGTTTGTTTCACATGCCCACTAGTTTATTTCTTGGTGTTGCATGCTTGAAAAATTTGTTGTTAGAGATTTGGTTCAAGTATAACGTTTACAATTTTAATAGGACTTACTGAACATTGTAGATGCTGATATTTCTGAACACAAGTGTGGAAGAAGAAAGGTAGTATTTTGTAAAGGGTATCTAATTGCTCAGAAAGAAAAATGGTGCAAGGTCTGTCACTGAACACTCTAACTACTTCCCGTAATGGTGCCTTCTGTGGATCAATGCCTTCGTGGAGGAAGCATTTCAAACTAACGAGGAAAACCCAGATAAGCTCTGTTATTGAAAGGCATGGTATCTGGCATCTGTGTCATCAAAGCTTAGTCTTAAGAGGTAACCCCAATATGTTAAAACAAAGGAACGTGAGGGTGGAAGCTGGGTGGCTGTTTAAAAGGGGTGATCAGGGGTTGAATGCAAGCTCAGAGCAAAGCGAGGCTGCTAATGAGGATATTTTGATATTCTTTTTCCAGCTGGACCTGGCAACTCGAGTTCAGGTTCGATGGGATTCCTTTCACAGTTTAAATTTTATAGTAGGGTATGGCATTTCTCTCAATTTTGTTTGTCTAACAAGAATTTACTTTTTTGGGGATACGTTGGCAGTATGCTTTGAACACGGAACAGTATGATATTGCACAACAACTAAGAAACAAGCTGACTGAGGTTAGGTCTCTCATCCTGATTTTAAGCGATATGCTAACCAGGTCTGGCATGGCTTGTTTTGAAATTTCAATTTTTCTACATTAACAGTCTTTGAGCTCCAAAAACAAAAGGCGAAGAATACGAAGGAAGGCCTTTTAGGCCTTAACAAAATCTTGAGAAACAGTCTCAATTTTTAATGCAGGTTTAGTGTTCCTAGCTTTTTATGAACCACCCTGACGAAACTTCTGATTACTTTTAATAACATTAGAAAAACCAGAAAGTTTTGTAAACACGATCTATGCTAGCTGATTTCTTGGCCTTTGAAAAGGATCGTTGGCATATAATCTTTTGGGGTGTTGTGTTCCATACCAACATGTCTAAGCATCTGCATAAATGGAGAATGAAATGAATTCCAGCTTGCCTAATAAGCGTTCTTTTTGTAAGGTTGAAGCTGAGGTTATTAGGCAGCAAGAGGCAAAAAGGGGATCGTCTCCCAAGAGTGAAGCTCAAGATAAGGCTATAAGTATCATTCGCTTACGGTACGCCCCAATTTTTGCCATATTTTATCTAATTAAGGCTTTAATTCAGTGAGAAAGGTGCAATTTATATGTTTCTTCCTTCTACTGTCTTTCGATTCGACCCTTCAATTCTTTTGGCATATGGGGTCAACTAAACATTAAAGTAGACTGCTTCTTTGTCTTTTCTTACAGTGCAGACTTGCAGAAGGCAATTGAGAGTGAGAATTATGCATTAGCAGCCAAGCTACGGGATGCAATATCTGAACTGGAGGCAGAATCACTGGCTGCATCCGCAAAAGCTCTGGCACATGAAAATGCAAATTATTCGTTTCGTTTGGGACAGAGAGTGAGGCATAAAAATTTTGGTATGTTAAGTAGTCTGTAAAAGGAATGCTTCTCAATTGTAGACTTTGGGAGCATGTTTAGGTAGTTGAATTTTATGAATTTGAGCGATTGCTAGGCAATTCATTGCAAAAGCATTGAAGAGTCTGTATAAAAAGTAGCAGCTTGGAAGAATCATCGTGGAATAAGTACAACTGGATTTTATGTGTTTCTTCGTTTCTTTTCCTGCTTTCCTGCTTGCTTCTGTTACATAAATCTTATGTTATGTTACTTTTTCAGGCTATCGAGCAGTGGTTTGTGGAATGGATCCTGTATGTTGTGAATCAAGTTCATGGATGCAAACTGCACAGGTTGAAAAGTTGCATCGGGGCTCTAATCAGCCATTTTATCAGGTTTGAAATCTGTGCCCTTCATGACTACGCACCTCCACATATGCCTCTGATATGATCTATTAAAATCAGTTAGCGTAACAACAATAACAACAGTAATGATATGGCAACAGTGATATATAATATGCTATCTGAATGATTGCTTTTATCTCTTCTTTATCTTTTGTCAGGTTTTGGTTGATGTACATGCGGACCCCAACCTTCTGGTGGCATATGGTAATACTCAGCTGTTTGACCCAATTGCTTCTCAGATTTAAGTTTCTTTTCCCATGTAATGAGCTTCTCTTTCTGCAGTTTCTGAGGAGAATCTTTTAGCCCCTGACGAACCAGATGTGGTGAGTAGAAAACCCCCCTTCTTTTGTTTTCTTTTCATTGTGAGCCTATTCTTTCCTCTTTTTGAGTTGGGTTGCTCTTGAGTAACATGAGAAATTACCCTGTTAATTTGGTCTGTTCTGTTGTTAACCTTGCAGGATCAATTTGATCATCCCTACATTTCCTTTTTATTCTATGGGATGGATGCCGCTGGGGATTTCATCCCGATCAAGCAATTGCGAGAGAAGTACAATAGACCCCGACATGAAATACCCTTTGATCCACTAGATGAGGGGCATGGAAGTGATGCTTAGATGCTTAGACAAATCCAAGCAACAGACCTTGTATAAGATACTGACCATCAATATATTTTTTTCATCTTTTTTCCCCATACATTGAGAATAGCTTCCCTACTAGTATGTGGATAGATCATTAAACGTGCAGAAATCAACAGTCTGTATCTCTATGTTTGTACCCTACTCACTCTGAAGCCTTAGAACATTACACTATTGATTACGATGTTGTGAAATTTCTTCTGCCCTGTTCATCATTTTGTCGTCATTTGAAATTTTCACAATTTTATATTTACCCAAAACCAAAAGTGAAAAATGGAACATATGCCATGCCGAGTGGACTTTAGGCCTACTATGTCCAAGTGGCCCAATATCTTGAGAAATCTTTTGCCGCGGCGTGTTTAAGTCCTCCGTCCGTCACCCATTTGTAACAGACGCTCTCTCTCTCATCCTAAGTTCAGAGACAGAGATTCTTCGTATGCATTCTTATATGTCCCATGTCAAGTAGGCTTAACCATGACCCTGTACATGCCCTTGTTCAGGTCCTGCACCATCTTAAGAACACTCACCCAACTCCATGCCCACCTCGTAATTTCAGGTCTCCACAAAGACCCACAAGCCTCTACCAAACTCATCGAATCTTATGCCCAAATGGGTTCCCTCCGATCCTCAACCCAAGTTTTTGAAACCTTCCCAAAGCCAGATGCTTTCATGTGGGGTGTGCTTATGAAGTGCCTTGTGTGGAATCACTACTTTCAAGAAGCCATTTCACTCTATCACAAAATGTTGCACCATGTAACCAGCATGAACAGGTTTATATTCCCTTCCATTTTGAGAGCTTGTTCGGGATATGGTGATCTGGGTGTTGGAGGGAAGGTCCACGGGAGGATAATAAAATGTGGGTTTGACTCTGATGTGGTGATTGAGACCTCATTGCTTGGTTTGTATGGAGAACTGCGTTGCTTAGATAATGCTCGGAAGGTGTTTTACGCAATGCCAATGAGAGATGTGGTGTCGTGGAGTTCGATTATTTCGTGTTTAGTGGAGAATGGAGAGGCAAGTGAAGGGCTTGAGATGTTCCGTTGGATGGTCTCTGAAGGTGTTGAATCGGATTCAGTCACAATGCTTGGTGTAGCTGAGGCTTGTGGGGAGTTGGCATTGTTGAGAGTAGCAAGGTCAGTACATGGTCATGTTGTTAGAAGGGGAATTAAAAGTGATGGGGCTTTAGAAAACTCTCTAATTTCAATGTACAGTAAATGTGGTGACTTGCAAAGTGTGCAAAGGATTTTTCGTATGGTTACTCATTGGCACACTGCATCTTGGACTGCAATGATCTCCTCCTACAATCAAGCTGGTTATTTTTTGGAAGCACTAGACGCTTTTGTTGAGATGCAAGAGTCTAAAGTGGAACCCAATTCAGTAACCTTGATGAGTGCTCTGCGGTCTTGTATTAGGTTAGACTTGCACAAAGAAGGGAGGTCTGTTCATTGCTTTGCTATTAGAAACGTTCTAGACCCCGACCTTGATTTTTTAGGATCGGCATTATTCGAATTGTACTCTGAAATTGGGGGACTAAGCTATTGTCAGAAACTTCTTAATACAATTGGAGAGAGAAATGTGGTGTTATGGAACACAATTATTTCAGGCTATTGCCAAAAAGGCTTGTTGAGAGAGGCATTGCTAATCTTTGTGCAGATGCCGACCCAAGGACTAATGCCAGATTCTTTCAGCATGTCAAGTGCTCTCTCAGCTTGTGGAAAGGTGGGTTTAGTAGAACTTGGGCATCAGATACATGGTCATATAATCAAAAGAGGCTATTTGGATGAGTTTGTCTTGAATTCACTGATTGATATGTACTCAAAATGTGGGTTTGTAGATTCAGCATACATGATATTTGATAAGATTCAACACCTTGGTGTCATAACATGGAATTCAATGATTTCCGGATTTTCTCAAAATGGTGACCCTGTCATGGCGATCAGTCTTTTTGATAAAATGTTCTTGAACTGTCTCGAGATTAATGAAGTCGCCATTTTAAGTGTCATTCAAGCTTGCTCCGAATTAGGTTATCTAGAAAAGGGAAAATGGGTTCACCACAAGCTCATAACATATGGTGTGGGGAAAGATCTCTATATTGATACAGCTCTAACTGATATGTATGCCAAATGTGGAGACCTTCGGTCTGCTCAAGTAGTATTTGATATAATGGAAGAAAGAAGTGTTGTGTCATGGAGTGTCATGATTGCCGGGTACGGTATGCATGGCAAGATTAATGTTGCCATATCAATCTTTACCCAAATGCTGGATACAGGAATGCAACCAAATGAGATTACCTTCATGAACATTCTTTCAGCTTGCAGTCATGCAGGAGCTGTCGAGAAAGGAAGGTTCTATTTCAGATCAATGAGGGATTTTGGCATTGAGCCCAGCGCAGAACATTTTGCTTGTATAGTTGACCTTCTGAGTCGAGCTGGTGATCTCACCGGAGCATATGAAATCATCAAATCAATGCCATTCTCTGTAGATGCCAGCATATGGGGCGCCCTTCTTAATGGATGTAGAATCCACCAGAGGATGGACATGATTAAAAGCATTGAAACAGACCTTTTAGATATCAGCACAGATGACAGTGGATACTACACCTTATTTTCTAACATATATGCTGAAGGAGGGAACTGGGATGAATTTGGAAATGTGAGATTAATGATGAAAGGCATCGGTGTGAGGAAGGTCCCTGGATACAGTATAATTGAGCTGGATAGGCAAGTTTACAGATTTGGAGCTGGAGATACCCCTCATCCCCAAATGAAGGAGATTTACAGTTTTCTGGAGAATTTTCAGAGTCTCACTCGCGAACAAGGGATAACGTAGAATTTGATATGTTTTAAGTCTGTGGAATTAAATTCAAGTCCATTTCCAGAAACAACACTAGAATTTCCTAGAACACCTTGCTTGTGAGTGCTACTGGTTCACGGCATGTGTCTAAAATCCCAGGCCGATCACTATGATAGATTTCAGCTGGTTGAATCCTTCTACGAAATTGAATGGGAACCACAGTTGCTGGGGTATCTTTGAGGTAGCTCTGGTTACTCCACTAAGGAAATCAGACAGGTCTTACGTACAGTTCATTATATTTTTGGAGCTCAACACCCACAAGGTTGTAGTTTATTGTGGCACATGACGGCAGTAGTTACACAACATTGGATGGTCAATAAGCTGAACAAAAGAATGGTTTCAGTATATGTTCGCCTCTGAGGTCTATCTTTTGCTGCTTGCTTCTCCAATTCTATGGCACTCCACTTGATCAGGCAGCCAACATGCCCAGGGGATGCTTCATTGGATTGTCATCGAATTTTATCCCAAACCCGAACTTCTAATTCCAAATTACTTGAAGAAAAGACCTAGCTGAGGATTTTGTATATTAGCATGTTACATTACGTGGGAGGAGGCTCCCTAATAACTTTGTATATTAGCATTGACATAATGCTTAAAAGACCTAGCTGATGATTTTGTTTGTTCAGCTCATTGCATGAACAAAACCTGATTTCTTTTTTCTTTTTTTTTCTTTTTTTTTGGCCAAGGCTATACGTCTGGATTAAAAGAAACTATTATATAAACACTTGGTACATACATAGTATTCTTTTTCTTTTTTCTTTGGTGGTCAACTGGTACAGAGTATTTGCATATCCACATTTCATACCATAACCCTTCAGATCCCAGGCTAATTCGGCTCACTCAACCTGCACGCCTTCTTGTACGATGGCCTTCAAGTATTTGCTTCAACATTAGCATACAGCTTCATGGCTTGATCTGGTAACCCAGTCTTGTTAAGTCATCTATAGCATACTCGTGATCGTTTCATCCAGAAGAACACTATGTTGAGGTTGCAGAGAAAGCACCTGCCTCTTAGGACTTCAAAAATTTTGTCCTTCGTCAAACCTTGGATGGAGCTCCCACGAATGAAATCGTAAGCATCCAAATCAAGAGGATGCAGGGCACCGATGCAAATTGACTGTCGGCAAAGCTCGACTGCTTTTCTGTAGGCAACCCAAAATGGTCTTAACGGTGACATTTAGGTCTGAGCAGCATTTGTGCAACACCTCATTAGTAGTCACCACCTCCACACTGTAATGACATGCCTAATGTACCATATGACTAACCAACACATGCCACTTTAACAGGTGCAATGTCATTTCTGATATCCATCTCCACTTGGCTATATGCAAGGGACTTGCTCAATCCTCTCTGCTTCATTAACTCTCTAACTTGATTAACCTGGCTCCATCTACCATCTGAAGCATACAGGTTAGACATTAGCACATAGTAGCAAGCTTCATCAGGATGCAACTCTAGCATTCTTCTTATCGCGGCTTCGCCAAGATCAAATCTTGAATAGAGTCCACATCCGTGGAGAAATGCCCCAAACAAACTAACATCTGGTTGAACCGGCATTCTCTCAATGAACACCAAGGCCTCTTCAAGTTTGCCAGCACGAGCCAATAGATCGACCATACATGCATAATGCTTCATAGAGGGCTTGAAGTTATAGTCCTGTGACAGTGAATTAAAATACCTCCGCCCTTCTTCAACCATTCCTGTATGGCTGCAAGCTGATAACAAAGTCGTGAAGATTACTTCGGTGGGCTCTAAATGCTTCTTCAACATATCACTAAAAAGTGCTAGGGAACCTCTGCTGTCACCCTGAACTCCATAACCACCAATCATTGCACTCCACGTGACTGTGTTCTTCACTCCCATTCCATCAAAAACTAGACGAGCAGATTCAGCATCCCCGCACTTGGCATATAAGTTTAACAGTGCAGTGCCGACATAGATATTTGAAGTTAGCAGGCCATCCTTTATTGAGTGAGCGTGAAGCGATGAACCTACTGAAAGAAAACCAAGGGTAGTACATGCTGAAAGGACACTTGCCAATGTGAAAGCATCATGCGAGAAGGATTCTGATCTCATTTGATGAAACAGTTGGAGGGCTTCACATGCCGACCCATTTTGGGAATACCCAGAAATAATTGAATTCCAAGCAATGACATTCTTGTCCAAGATTGTTTCGAAGATGTAACGAGCATCACCAATCATATGACATTTTGCATACATGTCCACTAGAGCATTTCTGACAGTAGAGTCTTCCAGCCCGAGTTTAATCCCAAGACCATGGATTGACCTTCCCAAATTCAAATTACATGACTGTGCACAAGATGAAAGCACACTTGTAGTAGTGATAGAATTGGGCAAGAGACCAACCCATTTCTCATCCGTAAACAACTTCAAGGCCTCATCTGGGCACCCACTTTGAGTGTACCCAACAATCATTGCTGTCCATGATACAAGATCAATTGCAGGAAGCTCATCAAATATAGAACGAGCATATCTGATGTCGCCACACTTGACATACATGTCGAGAAGAGATGTCACCAAGAAAGAGCTAACTTCAATACCAGTTTTAATCAAATGTCCATGAATCCACTTTCCCTGATGTAAAGCTCTTAACTTTGTACAGGCCGTAAGCACGCTCCCTAACGTGAATTGGTTCCCTTTAATCAACTCATCTCTCATCCTATTGAACAAGACCAACCCATCTTGGGGACAATCGTTTTGCACATACCCCACAATCATTGAAGTCCAGCAAACCACATTTCTATCAACAATTCCATCAAAGACCGCACGAGAACATTCAATCCATCCACACTTTGCATACACATCCACCAAACCCGTCAACACAAAACTATCAGGACTGGCCACCTTAACAATCTGGCAATGCACCTTCCTCCCCTCATTGAAGTCCCGCAATTCACTACAAGCCTTCAGAACAATCGAGAAAACAACGTTGTCATGTTCTCTGACGCATATTCTCATATGAGTATAGAACCCCATAACCTCTGCATACAAGTTGTGCATAAAGTACCACCTCAGCATCACCTTCCACGAATAAAAATCCGGGCTTGGCATTTGATCGAACAACAACCGGGCACATTTGACGTACCCAAATGAGCCGTATAAGCTAATCAGTTTAGTACGACAAAGAAGATCGTCGGAGAGGCCGTGTAGGACGAGCAAGCTATGGACTTTCTTGAGGGAATCGATGTTCCTGCACAAAACGAGGAGATTAAAGCATGGGTTTGAAAACACTGAGCGCGTGGAGGCTAAGGTTTCAGAAAGGTCAGGTAGTTCTGAAGATGGTAATTGATATATGGCATGGGTTGCAGACCGCCATTGAAGTAAACGCGTTCTGGGTATTTGGCCATGTACGGTAGAGATGACCTTCATCATCATCCTCATCACTTTGTTCTTCTATTTTTAATTTTCTCAGCAAATTTTTCAGTTTTTGAAAACCAGTTAATTTATGGCGGCGGAACGACCACCCCTACGGTTCTTCTCTGTTTTGGCGCGTCCTGGCGTTTTGTTGCCCCATATGGGCCTTGGGGAATTGCTCAGGCCCGTGCGTTTGGGCCAGTGTTGAAACTTCGGGCCCGATTAATTTTTAAACAACAAAGCCCAAGTTGGGGTTTTTTTTTTTTTTTTGTTTTTTTTTTTTTTTTTTTTTCTCCTCACAAGCCGTATATAATAACGTATGGGAAGGGGGATCAAATTTAGGTGCAAAGAGGAGGGCATATTACATTAGCCAATTAGCTTAACCCACATCTATACAAATAGAGATTATCGGGTGAGAGAATCTTCAGATTATAGTTTTTTTCTTTTTTTATGAATTATAAATAATAAGTGGGAAATAACTTGTGTGCAACACATTAAGAAAGAGAAAGTTGACTGTCGAAACAAAGAATAGGAGTGGAATTTTAAAAATATGAATGAATCCCGTAACAATCTGTTGCATGAAAACGAAGTCCCAACATCCTCGTTTCATATATAATCATAGACAGGAGGAGGACATCACTAATTTAAGAGACAAAAATACAATAAATAATAATAATAATAAGACCTCCTATGTTAGGAGGATAGACCATCGATCTTCAAAGGACGACCAAGTATTTATTTTAATTATTTCCAAACAAACTCGTTACTAGGACATTTGATTAATCATAAAACTGTTACTTAGTTTTGATGGACCGTAGACTAGAGTTGATGTCATTATAAGATTGTGAATATACTTAAATTTGGTTTTCCTTGACTTGAATGGTTTGGAAACTTTGTAATTAGTCAAGTAAGGAAAATACTTGCTTTCTTTCTTCAAAGTATGAACTCTTATTTTCCTGTTAATCATTGTTTGACATGTGCGATGAGATTCTTCTTTTTGTGTTTTTGATGAATTATTTTTGCATGTGTCAAACTTTGATTTGCAGAAAGTAAGAATGCTTTTTTTCAAGTAAAGAGGGATCAAATGAAGTAGGTTAATTACTTTATTTAACTTCAAGGATACAAACAAACAGAAAGGATCCTCATACCCAAACCCAATTATAGAAAATTAATATACAGAAAGATAAGGTTCATTTCTTTTTGAAAAGGATGATAATATAAATATGTGCAGGGGGAAGCACTCAAAACTCTCAAGATTGTGAATTGTTGAATTATGATTTGTGGTTGTGAAGTTTGGGTGGGTAATTGTTGTTCTTGAATGGCATAAGAGAGAGAGAGAGAGAGGGTGGGGGTTGGTGTGGAATGTGATTGGTAGGAAGTTAGGAGAGTATCTTTTTTTATTTTGTTTGTTTGTTTGTTTGTATGACACGTGGACACATTAATTACAATGACATATTGGATAAATTCAGATTGAGATTGAGATTGTGAATCGATTGTAGGTAGAGACTAGAGAGGAAGGTAGGTAGTCGTTGTAGCACCAAATCAAAACTCACTCTCAGTCCAAACACACCGACAGTCCCATCCATTCATTCATTCATTCAGGTTGGTGCTCTCTGCTCATCTAATCATATCTGATTGCTGCCACGTGTAGTACAACCCTAAGATCTTCGCCTTCTCTCTCTCTCCTCACTCCCATGAAGCATATGACGTGGAAATATTATACAAGGAAACTTATGTAGGACCCATGTAAAGACCTGAACACTTTTTTTTTTTTGTCCACGAGTGTGAAATTATAAATAAACAGATAACCCAATTGGAGAATCAACTAGAAAAAAAAAGATTGTTAAGTCAAAATCAAAAGGATATAAACCATACAGGCTTCAAAAGTAGAACATAAATTTAAAATAAAAAATTCGACCCAAATAAAAAATGGTAAAAAGCTAAGCTGCAAATTACATGCAATCCTTTTATTTGTTTTGGTTTCTTAATGCAGAGATTTTAACTTTCCATCAACTTTTGAGTAAAATAAAAGATGATTAGGGAAGGTGGTTGGATAAAGTAATGGGTTTGGCAAGATTGCATAGAACACGGCAAATGCCAAAGACAGCTTCTTTTCTTTGCTGGCTTTCTTCCTTTTGTCTTTTAATTCTTTTGATTCTTTGGGTCCAGAATATTTATCACCATCACCTTTGTCAATGCAAGTAAAAAGAAGCTTATTGGTGGGGCATGTTCGGCCACAAAACCATCCCAAATTTCTGCAAAAGGATAGACAGTGAACTAAAAACCGCTTTTTTGATTCACAAACAAACCAGGCACATCATGTGGGTACGTGGAACCCCTGTCTTGCATTACATGCTTTCTTTCTCCTTATGTGGCAACAACTTCTTGATCCACCATCCATCCTGAACTCAGCTATTAAACCATTTAGGTACATACTGCTGGCCATGAAGTTTTAGCTCAAAAATAGAAATAAAAAGAATGTACAAGTAGATCATGAGCATGACATGAGAATTGTACACTCATTCTCTCACATGGCATCTTTCATTTGAGTTGAGGGCTTTTTTATTTTATTTTATTTTATTTTATTTTTCTAGTTTGTACTGGGTTTGCTTGAGCTGCCTGCTGTTTGCACAGGACATGTTTATTGCAGTATGTATGTACTGTTTGTACTTGTTCTTAGTATATTAGCCAATTCATCAACAAAAAACACACTCAGAGAGAGAGAGAGAGAGTTTGCGGGATCAGATTAGATTCAGAAGCAGCATATTCACATATGAAATAATGATAAATTCACATCTGAATTCCCAGAAGACTGACAATGCATACGCAAATAGAAGAAACACTGGTATCTATCCGGGAATAAATCATGCAACATTATTTTTGAATAATACAAAGATGGCACCACCCAAAGATAGAAAATCAAGCCAACCCAGAATTTGGGCTAAGAAATGTACAGAGGGCAATCAATTCCCATGGCAACCTCAAACCCCCGAAGCCATAGAAACAACACCCTAATTTGCTCTATAGAACTCAATCAATAAGTTAAAGCCTCTTCACCATGTTTAGGTTAATGGAACTGATGGAGGATTGCCTGCCGGGCATCTTTGCCTACGGGGCCTTCTGGTAGTCTTACCCCAACCTGTCAGGCTCCTATCTTCCAGTCCCATTTCCGTATTATTAAGCTGCTGTACCAGCGGAGTGCAAGCTGGGCTAGTTGCCACAGGGGGAGAGGGACTCACCACTGCTCGTCGCCTGCCTCTACCACAACCGTTTCTCGTTGAGTTTCTCCTTGTCAGTCCCGAATGCCATGCATGACCTGTTGCCCGCATCAACCCTCCAAATGTCTGAAGATCTTCTGTTACCTCATGCCTTGACAAAGAAACAAGACCAGGAAGGATATCCCTTTGGAAGTCCCTCCGCTGCCTCCCTCTCCTTGACTGGCCTTTTCTGGGCTGATTTGCTGGTAATGTGCTTCCTGTTTCTTCCAGCTTTAAGTCTTCTGGAACCAGAGGCTTAGGCATGTAATCTTCTTCCTTGGTCTCTGTCAGTTTCAAAGTCATGGATTCAAAGTAATCGAACTCTTCCGATAAAGATTCCTCATTATCTTCACCATCTTTTCCTCTCAAAACAGTGTCAAACTTGCTCTCAAGATCATTCCCACAAATTGAAGCTATCTCCACAAACCACAGAAGGGGGTCAGCTGAAGAAGCTTCTGGTGGATCGCAAGATGATTCATTCATATGATTGTGAGGACCAGATGATGAGATGGAAACTATTGCCTCTGCTGCTACTCGCACAAGTTCATCTTGAGGAGGTTCAGCTGTGTGTTGTGGCAATGCTAAAGAGATTTCTTTCTGCTTTTCGGCAGATGTTTCTCCAGGAATAACATCATCATCAGTCTCCGGAACAATGGGGGCTTCCAAATCTATCTCTACTGTAATCTTCACACTGGTGCTTGGAACAGAAGGTTTCAAAGATACTTCATCATCGCTGATACATGAGTTCAAATCAATGTAATGTCTGAAACTGGCAACTTTTGTATCTCTTCCTTCTTCTACAACTACAATTTCTGCTACATTTTTTCTGGCCAACTCAGGAGCTGAAGGATCACAAGGCAAGTTGATATCCAGTTCTCTGTTTCTCCTGGTATTTTCCCCTCCTCTCTCAGATTGATGAGAAATAGACACAGAAGGGGAGGTAAGGGAAGAGGACTCGTTCTTAGAAATATGAGACTTCTCAAAAAAAGGAAATCCAAGAAGTTTTCTCTTGCATGGGATGTCACCTAGTTCATTCCTTCTGGCCTCAACATCATTTCCAGATAAAACAGATTTTATATCCTGAGCAAAAATTTGATTCAAATCCTTTCCAACTTCAATTTTATTGGATGAATTATTCATAGAAGATTGAAAGAAACCCCGCTCGCCAGTCTTTGAAACTTTGCCCGCGTTGGAAAACTCATTCTTAGAAGCAGGCTTAGCTCTTAGCCAGGGAAAAGCTGCAAGATGGTTCTCATGCTTTTGTTCTCCCCCTATGATTTTAAGACCCTGCTGGAGTATTTCTTCATTAGATGAGCTGTTTGAAAGAACTACATTCAAGTTTACTTCCCTTCCAGACTTCACATCCAAGCAATTTGAACCCTTGGGGTGCATCGTTGCACCATGACTCATCAAGTGTTCAGGGCCTCCATTATGATTGTTACTGCTGCTCTGATAGTCACAGCTGAGAGAAGGGAAGCGAACTGGCTCCTTAGACCCTGAAGAGGAACCATGGTGAAACCCATTTTGGTATGGCACTTCACTCCCAGAACCTTGGTTAGAACTAGAATGGTTGTTGAGATACCACCTATCTCCAAAAATCCCATTGCTCTGAACTGATGACTGGGAACTCTTACTCAAGGTAGCAGATGAGTTAAGACATGGGTGAGTTTGAACTGATATTGACTTCTGGCTTAAGCTACTGCCTGGGTTTTCCCAAGATGAAACCGAGTGTGTCCAGGACTTGGCCAAATCAGAGGAAGGAAGAATGGG